ACAAAAGTTCTCACAAAAATTTGAAGATTTGGAAGGGCGTATATTCGGTATGAACAAATTTGGTTAAAAATCCCATTTCCGACTTATTATTAATGGCATATGAAGATCACATCGTCCTGGATCGCATGCTGTTTAAAGACACGGCGATTGAAAGCGGAAATAAAATTCAATCATGCAGCTCTGACACACCTTTGTTCAGTTACTGTAGTTGCATGTAAAATTGTGCGATACAAGACACTAATTTCAGCCTGTCAGTAAAGTATTTAGATCAAGTATTTAGTTCTTGGAAATTAGACTCTTTTAACTTGGATGATAACTAAAATGGAAAAGTGTAGTTTCGTCATGTTTCCTGCAGAGCTTTTATGATCTTAGAACTTGACTGTAGAGCCAAATTATCAAATGAGAGAGTCAGAGAGACCCTTAAAATTGTATAAAAATAGTTACTTTATTGATCAAATGCTCTGAGGATATTGCCAATTTACTGTGCCAGCACTTGTAAATATATTTTTCCAATTGCTTTTAAACAGCAAACTGCAAAAGAAGCATGTCAGCCTAGTTACTTGGTTACCTTGACCTGATTAAATTCCCTTAATCTCTGATCATTTTGCTTATCCATACTTATTAAAAGGTAAGAAGTTGAATCCAAAAGAATTGGACGAGCTATCATGGGTGGTTGTGGGTCAGAAATATGATGACAGCCCACATACTTTAACCAAGAAAGATGCATTTAAATTATGGCTAATTTTCAAGAAGCTTGATATCAGTGGGGAGCTTCGTGTAGATGTTGAGGAATTGTGCATCATAATGGAGAAATTTGTGCGTGGAATTGGCATCCAGTGGAATGAACAATTCCTGACAGAGTATTCGGAAGATGGTGCGTTGACATTCTGGAAGTTTATCGAATGCTTAGAGCAGAAATTCTTGACCGGAGTTGATAAAAGGTATGGATGAAAAACATTAACCAATTTTAACATTATAGTTGATATGCCTTTGGCTTGGTAGCTCAATTTACACTTAGGTGATTTTGAAATGTGTGTGTTTTTAACTAATTATTTCAATGTTATAGTGTCCTTCGTGAAGGCTTGCAAGAGCTTTATGACTTTATTCTTGACGAAGTAACAAAAACTGGGTTTCTAACAAAGAAAGGCCATGGTATGTTCCAGAGTCAAAAATCTCGTTGGTTTGCCTTAAAACCTGACAAGTTGACCTACTATGTATCAAGTGGATTTCGGGAGAAGAAAGGTGACCTTGTCCTGAATAATGAAGCCAAAGTAACAAGCATTCCAGATAAAGGTGGAAACAAGTATAGATTCATGGTGACCTGTGGTTCTACAAAGAAAGAATATGAACAGATGGCTCCAGATCAACGAACAAAACAAGCTTGGATAACAGAAATTCAGACTGCTATTGGTAGGTTGAAAATTCAATTATTGTTTCTTAATTATTTCCAACAAGATGAAAGGCATTCTCATCAGACAAGGAGATAGAAGACATGGTCGTGATATGGTGTATTATTTAATAGTTTCTTTTTGTGCACATGTAGATTGTTTTGGTGGTGAAACACCATTGAAGAGAGACTTAATTGCACGCAAGGCAAAGCGAGATGAAGACAGAGCAAGGAAGGCTGAAGAAGAAAGAAAACGAAGAGAACAAGATGACCTTTTGGATCAGCAAAGAAGGGTAATAAAATGAGACTTAACGGTTGTTGTTCCTTGCAAACAAGTCATCAATATATAGCTAAACAACTAAAATTAAAATTATTCTCTCCAGGAAATTGACTTATTAAAGAAAAGAAAGGATGAAATTGAGAAGATGGCAGATGAAGAGAAAGCAATGCTGGATGCTGAAATAAAACGACGTGAAGAACTCGAAGAATTACAGCGAAACCTTCAACAGTTGCTTGAGGACCAGAAGAGAGCCAGAGAAGAAGACGAGAAGATCAGAGCAGCAAAGGAAAGATTGTTGGAAGAAGAAAGAATGAAGAGAGAACAACTTGAAGCTTTGAGACTTCAACAACAAGAGGAACTCCAGAACGAGAAGATGCAAAAGGAAGAATTGATGGAGAAACAAAAAGAACAGGAAAGGATAATGGAAGAGGTAACGTGAAGCAATGATGAGTTTCCATAGAATTTGAGTGAAGTCTTTTCAATGGATGGGGATAACAATTTTTAATTTTTCAGGAACGAAAGAGACTTCAACATCTTGAGGAAGAACGAATGAAAGCTGAAGAAGCAGCCAAAGCAGCGAAGGATAAGCTTGATGCGGCGGAAACTGCTGCAAAGAATGCCGCAGAGCAAGCAAAAGATAGAGTACGACAACTTAAGACATCCATTGGTCTCAAAGGAACAGTCGGACCAAAGGTTGATCCGCTTGTGTCACATCGTGGCAAAGGTGCGTTTACATTGGAAGAGTTTCTGAACCGGGCTACAGAATGGAGTGGTTTACCGCTGGATGAAGAAAAACCCAAAACTTTAACAGCGCCAGAGGTGGATGAACTTGTGAAAGCAAACGCCACGCCAGCATCAAACCAGAATATCCCCGAGTTCCTGAGAAAAGCCGCAGCTTGGAGTGGACTGAATCCTGAGACGTATTTAGAATCGGAAGGGAAGAAAGCAGCTCCTCCACCAAAGGTTGCTGCTAAACCACCCAAACCTCTACCTGCTTCTGCTGAGTCTCAGGAGGGCAAGCAGGCGTCACAGGAAGGTGAACAGGTATCTCAGGAGGGTGAACAAGTGTCTCAGGAGGGTGAACAGGTGTCTCAGAAGGATGAGCAGGTGTCTCAGGAGGGTGAGCAAGTGTCTCAGGAGGGCGAGCAGGTGTCTCAGGAGGGTGAACAGGTGTCTCAGGAGGGTGAACAGGTGTCTCAGGAGGGTGAACAGGTATCTCAGGAGGGTGAACAGGTGTCTCAGGACGGTGAGCAGGTGTCTCAGGAGGGTGAGCAGGTGTCTCAGGAGGGTGAGCAGGTGTCTCAGGAGGGTGAGCAGGTATCTCAGGAGGGTGAGCATGTATCTCAGGAGGGTGAGCAGGTATCTCAGGAGGATAAGCAGGTGTCACAGGAAGCTGAGCAGGGATCGCCTGAGGCTGATGCGCAGGTGTCACAGGAGGGTGAAGTGAAAGTGGAAGGGGGGGTAGATGATATTGATGGGTCTGAGGTGGCATCGATTGATACTGGAGGATCGCAGATAGACAATATAGATAATGAGCGATCTACAGAAGAAAATGTTAGTAAGGAACCAGAGGTGGCAGATGTTGATAATCCTGGTCCTGAGATTGTTAATGATGGATCTGATGTGAAGAGTGAGGGTTCTGTTGAGCCAGATGAGAAGGAAAGTGAGGGGAAGGAAGAGGTAAACAGGGAATGTGAGGAAAGGGAAGGGAGTAAGAATGATACAGTAGATGGGGATAATCAGGGATCCCCTGTTAAGGATTCCCCAGAAGGTGATGTTGTCGATGATTCTGTCGCAAACGAGGAGCCGCAAGCAGAGTCTGTTGTAAAGAACAGTGAAACAATCGACGATCCGACAGAAGCAGGAATTGAAGAAGATGGTTTGAAGAATGACGACACCGAAGCACAGAATAATAATCCAGAATTTAACAATAATGAACCTAGCAATGAGAACGCTGATGCAAAAGAAAACACGACAGTCGTTAACGGACAGTCTACTGAAGAAATTGAGACTGAGAACGAACTTGCAAATAGCGGAAATGATAAATTGGAAAACTCTGAAAAATGTGCAAAACCAGATGAGATATCAACTACGGAGAATGTTGAAGAAATAAACAGTTAAACATTCAAGTGATGTTTTCATAATGTATCACAATTAATATATGGTCAAAAACTTGATGGTTTAAACCTGCTTCTACCCGAACAACAATATAAAGGCGTGTTTTAAATTCTCTAGTGTTGAATGTAATAAGACCTTAGAAATAAGACCTTAGAAACGAACGTATTACTGAAAACCATCATTATAAAATGATGTTTATGTTCTGACTGGAGTTTTGTGCAGTTTTGCATTGCTTGATGATTTTTAAAAGCGTATAAAAACAGTTGCTTCGCAGCTGTGATAAGTTATCTGCGGTCTCCAAAGATTCCAGTCTTGTTTCACTGTAGTTTATTGTAGTTCAGTTGATATTAAGTGAGATAATTTAGTGATAAGAATATCGTATATTTATTTTACAAGATTGTACGTAAATTATTCTGCATGTAGTATTAAACAGTAAATATAATTGTTGTAAAAAACGTTTCTGATAATAAGATTTTTGTAGATCTCCAAACCAATTCTGTTACAACTTGCCACACATGTTGCTTGTATGCCTAAGATTGACTTAATATTTTGATAAAACGTCGGAAAACTAGACGGAACTAAAAGTCCGATCGGGATGTTAGTTAGGTGTATAAATACTAGTGAAGAACGTGGTATATTGTGTTGACTTGCGGAAAGGGTTTTGGCTTATATGGTTGGGTTAGGGGCCGCCTTTACTCTCCCTCAGTTTGTTTCAACGTGCACCCACATAGGCAAGAAAAGCACCGCACGACATGACCATGTTGGATTATTTTTGACTTTCAAAAATTGATTTAATATTTTGATGAATGGGCGGAAAACTAGACGGAGCTTTAAAAGTCCGGTCGTCACAGAATTTAAAAGTTCGAAGGCCGTCTATATCGACCTGTTATGCCGAAGTAAACGAAACACAAGCTCATTATTGTCTGTTCTCAAACACGCTTGAAAGTTAGTAAATCAGGCAATGAAAGGAGATTTTTAGTAGCCTTTTTATATTATATTTGGATATAAGTATGAAAGCAAGTGTGAAACACCGTACAAGTGTACTACATTCTGTATACTCTGCGAATATACGGCAGCACTTTAACTGCGATAGTTACCTTTGGTTAATAATAATAAATAATTATTACTAGAAAAGTGACGTCACTTTAAACGTGCGGTGCCCTGAAATGGAGCGAGGTCCACCCCGAAGCCCGGTGTTCTCACGTGGCACCTCCCATCAATTCGAGGCTTCGTTTACCCTACAATCTTCCTTTACGATTGAATATCTCGCTTGAATCTGTATATTTCATCGTCTATACATCAAAACACCATAAATCTGAGTCAATATTGAAGAGCTGTCTTTAATTCTTGGCCAGATTTCTTTTGATCGCAATGGCGCAAGTACTTCCTATAAAATTTCAGGAGCACCTACAGGTATATATGTGATTATGTTGTAATAGTAAGTCTTAATTTGCACGCTACCGCTTTCATTTTTCAATGATTTTGTGGGAATTTTCAATCGATTTCTCGTTATGATTTAGGCCGGTAAAGATGAATGACTGACCTTACGATACATATGCCATAAATGTATTATTTCTAAAAATTTAGTTTCAAAAGAGCATTTAAAATTGTGCAACAAACATACTATACAATCTAGTTGTAAAAATAAGTTCTAGCAAGATTCAAGCAAGGTTTTGTATGGTCAAGTTTTACCTCTATAACATCGGTTTTTGGAAACATTTAACTTCTGAGCAGAGCCAGAGTTATTGAGTAATACCTCTTTTATAATACGCGCTTTTTCCGGCAGGCAAAACGAGTAAAATAAATGTACATTTCACCGAAGTTTTACAATATGATCTTTTGCATATTTTCTCAGACCGTGGGCAAATACACGATATTTGCCCTTTCACGTACCCGTCAAGTTTGCCTACGGATTCGTGGCATAATTTGCTCAATAAATCTGTCATTTTCGCTTGATCTGAAGGATAGGAAGCGGATTTCGTTCCTGACATATTTTTACTGTTATCGTTGTTTAAATATATGAAATATAGTTGACAGTATATTAGATATGTTTGTCCTGATATGTGTTTAATCTCAGGCATTTCAAGTTGAGGCAGAAAGTGTTTCTGTCTTGACCAATCTACAGGTGCATTTTAGGGTTACCATGTACACTTAGGGTTCACTTAGTGTTACAGTAGTTTAGGGGTACAACCTGAGGTTAAGAAATCAACCTGTCAGGTCTTTAGGTCCAAGTATGTCACATGGTACTTTCATTCCTTGCCTTTGGGTCAAGTATTGATCATTTGAAATTTGACAAATGCTTCCTAAAAGTTACATATGGGCTGCTTCTTTAAGTCAATAGGTACTTTGTGATGACTGTATTCTCTATTTTTTTAGCTTCAAAACATTGGCATCAATGCTGCCAATATTGGATTCTCAACTCTTACTATGGAGTCCGACAAATTTATCTGTGTTCGAGAGAAAATTGGCGAAACTGCTCAAGTGGTGATCATAGACATGGACAACGCGAATAACCCCATCAGACGTCCAATCTCTGCCGACTCTGCAATCATGAACCCGAAATCCAAAGTCATTGCTTTGAAAGGTAGAACTTTAACTCTTTATTATTCTCCCCAAGCACCTTTCATTCTATGATTTTGGATTATTCTTATGTTGGATATATCTCTGACCATTTCTCTGACTTGTGGATGCAGTTTGATTGTTGGTTTCATGATGTGCCTGGATTAAAAATATCTTATTTGTTTTGCAGCTGGTCATACCTTACAGATTTTTAACATTGAGATGAAGAGTAAGATGAAGGCGCACAACATGACAGAAGATGTCACGTTCTGGAAATGGATTAGTGTCAACACTGTTGCTTTGGTAACTGATGGCGCTGTTTACCATTGGTCTATGGAAGGTGTGTAAGCCATAATTATATATTTAATACCAATAAAATCGGGCAAAAATAAATCATATATCTTCTCTGGCTGCTATCTTCTTCAAGCTCTTATAAAGGGGGTTTTATTTTGGCTTTTATCAGGGGATTCGCAACCACAGAAAGTTTTTGATCGTCACTCTAGCTTGGCTGGATGTCAGATTATCAACTATCGTACAGATCGAGACCAGAAATGGCTTCTGCTTGTTGGCATTCAGGCACAAGTTAGTACAAAATAAAATGAAGACATATCTTTAGTATTTCTATGTTTTTAGTTGGTAAAATGACAAATAAATTATGTTTAGAATGGATAATATTATATTGATACTGCAATTTTTGTTCATGATCTTTCAATTTTTGTTCATCTCATTTTGACAGCAAAATCGAGTGGTTGGTGCAATGCAATTATATTCTGTTGAACGTAAAGTGAGTCAGCCAATTGAAGGACACGCTGCAGCATTTACACAGTTCAAAATTGAAGGAAACCCACTGGAGTCTACGTTATTCACATTCGCTGTCCGTGGTCCTCAAGGAGGAAAGGTGAGATATACTGAGCTCTGATATACAACACACAAGACTGATTCACTTCTCAAAGCATGGTAGAAATATGTAGCTGAAGAAATAACACCAGGCAAAAATTCATTTGTTCCTGTCTTTATATTTTGTAGTTGCATGTGATTGAAGTTGGAACACCGCCATCAGGAAATCAACCTTTCCAAAAGAAAGCAATTGAGGTCTTCTTTCCACCAGAAGCACAGAATGATTTTCCTGTTGCTATGCAGGTAACCTGGTCATGTAGTCTCCATGTCTTCTCTCTTTCTCTCTCTCTCTCTGTGGGCTACCAAAACACCACAACCTACTTTATTCTCCTAATGAATATCTGCATCCTATTTAGGTCAGCCAAAAACACGGCATAGTATTCCTGATTACGAAATATGGTTATGTTCATTTATACGATGTTGAGAGTGGTACTTGTATCTACATGAACCGAATCAGTGGAGATACTATCTTTGTGACAGCATCACATGATCCTAGTAATGGTATTATTGGTGTTAATAGAAAAGGCCAGGTTTGTTACTAGTAAATATACTGTGGTTTATGCCACTTTATGCCTTATAAATACCAAGCTAATAAATTTTAACTGTTGAATCTGGGATTTGTATTTTTCCCTTCATGAGGTCTTTCTGTCAATTCTAGGTCTTATCAGTGAGTGTTGATGAAGAAAACATTGTAACGTACATCACAAATGTACTTCAAAATCCAGATCTTGCCCTCAGAATAGCCATACGTAACAATTTGGGAGGTGCTGAGGAATTATTCGTACGAAAATTCAACAACATGTTCAACAATATGCAGTACGCTGAGGCAGCAAAGGTCGCTGCTAACGCACCAAAGGTTTGAACATTTTTGAGGTTGTATTCCCTGTTAAATCATCCATCCTTATTAGAACCTTGTTGACTTGAGTCATTTTACTCATTTATATTTCTCAACAGGGGATTCTGCGAACACCTCAAACTATTCAACGTTTCCAACAAGTGCCATCACAACCTGGCCAGACCTCTCCATTGCTGCAGTATTTTGGTATTCTTCTGGATCAAGGTCAGCTGAACAAATACGAGTCCCTGGAACTGTGTAAACCTGTCTTGCAACAAGGACGAAAACAACTGCTGGAGAAATGGCTGAAAGAGGAAAAGGTGAAATGATATAGTACATGTGTATTAACAAAACCAGTAGATGAATCATAACGTTAAATTGTCAATGATGAAACAAACCTAACACCATCTTTCGTTTGATGTCTGAAACATGACATGAAAACCAACCTTTGAATCTGAGACAAGCATTTTATAATGCAGTTATTTTGAGCAGTTAAATCCTGCTGAACTGAATCATGTTTATTTCATGTGTTTTTCTTATTTTCCCAGCTTGAATGCAGTGAAGAACTTGGTGATTTGGTAAAGCAAGTTGACCCAACACTTGCTCTGTCTGTCTATTTGAGAGCCAATGTCCCTAATAAGGTAGAAATTGTTGATTCAAAAGTGTGTTTCTTATCTGAGGAGAATCTGAGAATATGATTGTTTGTTTTGTTTCAGGTTATCCAATGTTTTGCTGAAACTGGTCAATTCCAGAAAATCATTTTGTACGCAAAGAAAGTAGGGTTCACACCTGATTACATCTTCCTTCTTCGAAGCGTGATGCGGGTGAACCCTGAGCAAGGAGGACAGTTTGCGACAATGTTGGTTCAAGATGAGGGCGAACCTTTGGCTGATCTCAGTCAAGTTGTTGATGTTTTCATGGAGACAAATCAAGTGCAAGCATGTACGTCGTTCCTTCTTGATGCTCTCAAGAACAACAGGCCAAACGAAGGCCATTTGCAAACACGTTTGTTAGAAATGAATCTCCTGACGGCACCCCAGGTTGGTTTCAATTGCATTGTTCTTTCAATAGACGTAAAAACTTTTGTCAGTGATGAAATAAATCGAACACCATCTTTCGTTTGATGCTATAAATTGGCATGAAAACACCAAAACATTATCTGAGACAATATGTTTTACATAAAGTAATCTTTTTATACCCTTTCTTTATACAATCCTAGTAAACCATTTCAATTTTTTTGTCAACAGGTTGCTGATGCAATTCTTGGCAACCAGATGTTCACTCATTATGACAAAGCGCATATTGCACAACTCTGTGAGAACGCTGGACTTCTACAACGGGTAAAAAACACAGACTTTCTTCTATATGTTAAACACTTTGTAAGGTTAGAAAACTATTATTTTAAATTGACGTTGACCTCTAAGATTATCCTCTAAATCTTGTTTTAGGCTTTGGAACATTACACAGATATTTTTGACATCAAAAGAGCAATAGTGCACACCCACTTGCTAAATCCTGAGGTAATTTAGACATTCGCTGGTAGAGCATTGTCATTACGTTTACACAAATGTCAACAGTTTATCATCTTGTTGTAATTCAAACGTTTTTTCAGTGGTTGGTCAATTACTTCGGAACCTTGTCAGTTGAGGATTCTATGGAATCGTTGAAAGCAATGTTGACTAATAACATTCGCCAAAACCTTCAAATATGTGTTCAAGTTGCTACAAAATATCACGAACAACTTGGAACAGCTCAACTGATTGAACTCTTCGAGTCCTTTAAAAGCTTTGAAGGTGGGTCAAGACTTGAGAATAAAATAAGAAGAATTTTGTACGTGTTCAGAGAAGTTCCTGATCGTGAAGGAATTTTCTTTCTTAGGCTTGTTTTATTTCCTTGGATCAATTGTGAACTTCAGCCAGGATGCTGAGGTTCATTTCAAGTATATTCAGGTTTGTTTAAATCATTGTAACTAAGCGTGGTTGAGGTTTTTAGTAGCGTGTAATGGTTGCTAGCGAACTATTTTTGTAAAGTTTACGACCGCGTCGTCTTATCTCAACAGGCGGCTTGCAAGACTGGTCAAATCAAAGAAGTGGAGAGGATTTGTCGTGAGAGCAACGTTTATGACCCCGAGAGAGTGAAGAACTTCCTCAAAGAAGCGAAATTGACAGATCAACTGCCATTAATCATCGTCTGTGACCGCTTTGATTTCGTTCATGATCTTGTGTTGTATCTGTATCGAAATAATTTGCAGAAATACATCGAAATCTATATTCAAAAGGCAAGTTTAAACTAAACTGTTTTTCCTGGATGTCCAGTAAGGATCATCTCTTATTGATCCAGTTAGGATTATCCTTTGTTGATCCAGTGAAGATCATCCCATGTTTATCTAAGTAGGGATCATCCCATGTTCATCCAAGTAAGGATCATCTCTCATTGATCCAGTTAGGATTATCCTTTGTTGATCCAGTGAAGATCATCCCATGTTTATCCAAGTAAGGATCATCCCTTGTCGATCCAGTGGAGATCATCTCTTATTGATCCAGCAAGGATCATCTCTTTTTGATCCAGTGAGGATCATTTCTTGTTGATCCAGTGAGGATCATTTCTTGTTGATCCAGTGAGGATCATTTCTTGCTGATCCAGTGTTACCCAGATTGATTCTAATGATAATCTCATTACGTTCAGGTCAATCCAACTCGTGTTCCTGTTGTAGTCGGAGGTCTTTTAGATGTCGACTGCTCAGAAGATATCATCAAGAATCTCATCCTGGTTGTACGAGGTCAATTCTCTACAGATGAACTAGTGGAAGAAGTCGAGAAACGTAATCGCCTGAAGTTGTTATTACCGCTGCTTGAAGCTCGCGTGCATGAAGGCTCAGAGGAACCAGCTACCCACAATGCATTGGCGAAGATTTACATTGATTCCAACAACAATCCTGAACGATTCCTAAGGTAAGCAGCAGGAAAAATCTCATTTCTCTTTTAAAATATTTCAAAACCATCATTTACAGTCCTATTACTTCTTGGAAAGTGTGGTACAGATCTAGTTTTACTACCTGAGGAGGTCTGAATAACTAAACTGCTCTCTTTTATAAGTAAGGATGGAAATATTGTTTCGTTAAAAATTCGCGCTTTTTTCGTTGCAGGGAAAATCCTTTCTATGACAGCAAAGTCGTCGGAAAATACTGCGAGAAACGAGACCCGCATCTCGCGTGTGTCGCGTACGAGCGTGGACAATGTGATATGGAGTTGATCAATGTGAGTCGCAGATCTCAGTATAATTTACTGAACTAAGCACAACAGCGTTGTGAACGGTATTCCTCAATTATTCCTTCAGGTATGCAACGAGAACTCGTTGTTCAAAAGCGAAGCAAGGTATCTTGTGCGTCGTCGTGATCCAGAACTTTGGGCAAGTGTTTTGCAAGAGGATAATCCATTCCGACGACAACTGATCGACCAGGTCGTACAAACTGCGCTCTCAGAAACCCAAGATCCTGAAGATGTCTCGTGTACCGTGAAGGCCTTCATGACCGCTGATTTACCAAATGAATTAATTGAACTACTTGAGAAGATTGTCCTGGAGAACTCGGTCTTTAGTGAACACAGGTAACGTGCATACCCTACATGATAATCACTCTGGATAACACGCCAGAGTTTGGATGATATTAACTTGCGTTACGATCGAAGAATTTCATGAACTTGCATATCAATGCCGTGGCTACTTATTCTTACAATAATTTTGATCTTCCAGAAACCTGCAGAATCTTCTTATCCTTACTGCAATCAAGGCAGACCGCACGCGAGTTATGGAATATATCACAAGACTTGATAACTATGACGCTCCTGACATAGCAAGCATTGCCATTGGTAGTGAATTGTACGAGGAAGCCTTTGCAATATTCAAGAAATTTGATGTCAATACCTCGGCTATACAGGTCAGTCTTGTTTTGATAGCTTTACTCTGGGGTATATATGTGTGTATATTTGTGCTGTGGGTACATAACAGGTTGTTGTATGTTCTATCCTCTTTCTCTCCTGATGTTGCTGATTATTCCTTTGTTTCTCTCAGGTTCTGATTGAAAACGTCCAGAATCTTGACCGTGCCTACGAGTTTGCTGAGCGTTGCAACGAACCGGATGTTTGGAGTTTACTAGCCAAAGCTCAGCTGGAACAAGACATGGTGAAAGAGGCCATTGATTCATTCATCAAAGCCGATGACCCTTCAGTTTATACGGAGGTCGTCGCCATTGCCCGCAAGGAAGGTGGGATGCAATCAATTTGTTTGCCTCATTTCAAAATGTTTCCTTCAAATGACATACATTCATCAAACAATCTTTTCTTGTGTAGACAAATATGAAGATCTGGTGAAATATCTTCAAATGGCAAGAAAGAAGGCAAGAGAAGGTTTTATTGAAACTGAGCTGGCGTTTGCTTTGGCAAAAACCAATCGATTGGCAGAGCTGGAAGAATTCATATCTGGACCTAACCATGCGCAAATCAAAGAGGTTTGTGATTTTCAGTTTTCCACACTGTGGTCTCTGAATCATGTTGGACTGTGGAAGCATTGACCGGTTTTCTTGTATTCAGGTTGGTGATAGATGCTACAATGATAAAATGTATGAAGCAGCAAAGATCTTATACAACAATATTTCAAACTATGGTCGTTTGGCATCGACCTTGGTTCATCTTGGCGAGTTTCAAGCTGCGGTTGATGGCGCTAGGAAAGCAAACAGCACCCGGACTTGGAAAGAGGTAGGTAGCGATCTAGGGGGTGAAATTCGCTGTCGTGATTGGTTGATGTACTTCACTCTTTAATGCTGATTGGCTGTCTCCATTCCAGGTTTGTTTCGCTTGTGTGGACAGCGAGGAGTTCCGTCTTGCTCAGATGTGCGGTCTGCATATCGTCGTCCACGCTGATGAACTGGAAGAGTTGATCAACTACTATCAAAACAGAGGTCATTTTGAAGAGCTTATTCAACTGCTCGAGGCTGCCTTGGGTCTGGAACGAGCTCACATGGGCATGTTCACGGAATTGGCGATACTTTATTCAAAATATAAACCAGCAAAGATGAGAGAGCATTTAGAATTGTTCTGGTCACGAGTCAATATTCCCAAGGTGTGCATTCGTAATATTTCTCGTACTGTGATATTTCTCGTACTGTGATATTTCTTGTATAGAACACTGCTCTTAGAAAGTACTTCTTGTAGTGAACATTTCTCGTAATCTTTTTACGATTTTCTCGCTAGGTTCTCCGGGCAGCAGAACAAGCCCACCTGTGGGCAGAGCTGGTGTTCCTTTACGAGAAATACGAAGAATACGACAACGCAATTCTCACGATGGTTGCCCACCCAACGGTCGCTTGGAAAGAAGCACAATTCAAAGATATTATCACGAAAGTCGCGAATATTGAGCTGTACTACAAGGCGTTACAGTTTTACCTCGACTTTAAACCACTTCTGCTAAACGACCTGCTAATCGTGCTTACTCCACGAATGGATCACACCCGCGCCGTTACCTACTTCAGGAAAATCAACCATCTTCCCCTGGTCAAACCGTATCTGCGATCTGTTCAAAATCATAACAACAAAGTCGTGAATGAAGCTCTGAATGATCTGTTAATCGACGAAGAAGATTATAATGGTCTTCGTGCATCCATTGATGCATTTGATAACTTCGATAACATCGCTTTAGCTCAAAGACTTGATAAACACGAATTGGTTGAGTTTCGTAGGATTAGTGCTTATTTATACAAAGGAAATAATAGATGGCAGCAATCTGTTGAGTTATGTAAAAGAGATAAGTTATACAAGGTAAGAATGGTATGCATGGGACGCCATACAACGATTCATTTTAGTGTAGAGGATGATGGTTTCACACCTTAGGGAACTAGAAAATTTCATGTTTTCACTAGAAAATTTCATATTTTCTCCTTTTATTTTAGGATGCAATGATTTACTCGTCCGAATCTAGAAATGCCGAAATTGCAGAGGATCTTCTAAACTGGTTCTTAGAAAATCAAAACTACGAATGTTTTGCAGCAGCTTTGTTCACGTGTTATGATTTGTTGCACCCGGATGTTGTCTTAGAGCTAGCTTGGAGAAATAATATACTTGATTTTGCTATGCCTTATGTCATTCAAGTTTTAAAAGAATATATTACAAAGGTAGGACACGGCAGGATCATAAGAGATGATCGTTACTGGATCTCTAGGAAGAACAGTTTAGAACTGATAGAGCTATCCAGTATAAATAAAGTTAGTTTAGTTTAGGTTTCCTCCTGTAGTAACACTGGATCATAAGAGATGATCCTTACTGGACCTCTAGGAAAAACAGTTTAGAACTGATAGAGCTATCCAGTATAAATAAAGTTAGTTTAGTTTAGGTTTCCTCCTGTAGTAACACTGGATCATAAGAGATGATCCTTACTGGACCTCTAGGAAGAACAGTTTAGAACTGATAGAGCTATCCAGTATAAATAAAGTTAGTTTAGTTTAGGTTTCCTTCTGTAGTAACACTGGATCGATAAGAGATGATTCTTACTGGATCTCTAGGAAGAACAGTTTAGAATCAGAGGTAGTAATGGTAGGCAGTATAAATGAAATTAATAACTTAAAACATATTTTTTTCTCGTCAAGGTGGATAGTCTTGCTACATCGGAGAAAGAACGCAAGGATCAAGAGGAAACGAAGCAAGACCAACCATTAGTATTTGGTAAGTATTTGGTAGACATTGCTTATACCACTTGCAGTTATCAGAGTGAGATAATAGTGTTTATTCCGTTCATTATATACTTGTCTATCTCTAACTTAACTTCCCTTATTAGGAAATGATCAATTAATGTTAACCGCTGGCCCCAATATGGCGGCACCTCCAGCACAAGTTCCTGTACCGGGGATGGTACCTGGAATGGTTCCCCCGGGCGGGCAAATGATGTACGCAGCACCTGGTTACCCGGCAGCTCAACCTGGCTTTCCTCAGCAATATTAGGAGAACAATTTTAAATGTGTAGTAAAAAAATAACTAAATCCCTTTTAAAGACTTTTTGCAATTTACCGGCGTTCATAATGGCATTCTCGGCTTAGCTAAATAAATTACCTGAGAGATTTTTGATTAAAGACGATGAAATATTAGTATATAGGCCCGATAAGCGAGATTTTCTATGCTATAGGAAGTTCAATTTTTGTTACCAAATAAGTATAATTATGCATGCAACATAATAAAGTGATACAAAATCAATGGCTTTGTTTTCGTCTTTGTGAAATGCATTATCTGTTTGCCAGAGTGCATTTAGTGTTGATGAACCAAACATGCTTTTTCGTAGCCGTTTAGAATGAAAAGGAATAGAGTTTCGTTTCCTAGAATTTTAATTAAAAAACAAGCTCCCTAACTTCTTCACCAGCTGTAGGTAACAACCAATGAGTACCATGTGTTTTATCCATTAACATCGCGCAGTTGCTGTAGAATTGTGCGAAGACCATCAAGCTTATGTTACAGACATGAACGGCCGTAATTTATTAGCATTTAGTGCGTTCATTTGCGCCCTTCTTCATCTGGCAATTTCAGCCGATATTTACGCTTGTGATAACCAAGTTTTCTGTCAAGGAAAGATTCTTCACGAGGTTCAAATGGCAAAAATATTTGCTGACGCAAAGACCTTCGTCGATATGAGAATGAAGCATGACATCACGGACATTACAAGAAATTTCACTGCTTTGGGACTCAAACCATCCAAGGAAAAAATCCGGAAATTTGTGGCAGATAACTTCAGCCCAGCCGGAGAAGATCTCGACCCGTTTGACCCTGAAGATTTGGTAGAAAAGCCTAAACGTTTGAAAAAGATCCGTGACGAGAAATTGCGCAAATTTGCGTTCGCTTTGAATGCACTTTGGAAGAAACTCGGCAGAAATATCACGCACGAGGCACGTGTACAAAGTGAGCGATCCTCTCTGATAATCGTCCCAAGCCCCTTCATAGTTCCCGGTGGAAGATTTCGTGAATATTACTATTGGGACTCGTACTGGATATTACATGGAATACTGACGTGCGGAATGCACGAAACTGCTAAAGGAATGATAATGAATTACCTCGATCTGGTGCGTCGCTTTGGTTTCGTACCAAATGGTGGTAGAATTTACTACTTGAACAGGAGTCAGCCACCGTTCCTCATCCAGATGGTGGATCTCTACTACAGCTATACCAAAGATCTTGATTTTGTGCGCAAGAATTTGAAAATTCTTGAAAAGGAGTATGAGTTCTGGGAAAAGCATCGTACTGTTTCATTGAATGTATCAGGGGTGCAGCACAGTTTTGCAATATACAATGCTAACATGACCACGCCTAGACCAGAGTCGTACTGGAATGACTATGAAGTTGGAGAGAAATTAACCAAACAGCGCATGAAATGGAGGTTCTACCAGGCTGTTGCATCTGCTGCTGAGAGTGGATGGGACTTCTCTAGTCGTTGGTTTGACCAATCAGATGACGAGATTGGAAAATTTGAGTCTATTCATACCATGAAAATAATTCCAGTTGATCTTAATTCAATATTATACAAAAATGCTGTGACTCTCTCAAAGTTTTCTGGTTTGACTGGAGACCAATCAAAGAGCAAAAAATACCAGCAATTGGCCAATCGAAGATGGAGTGCAATTGAGGCTCTCCTTTGGAATGAGGCTGCTGGGGCATGGGCTGACTATGATGTCACAGTGAAGAGCAATACTAAAGCATTTTATGCATCTGTCGTTGTTCCACTCTGGGCTGGTCTTGCCCAAGAAAATGCCACTCGTCAGGAGCTTGTATTTCAAAGTATGAAACGTGCAAAGGTATTGGATTTTCCAGGTGGGTTTCCGACATCATTGAATCTGTCAGGACAGCAATGGGATTACCCCAATGCTTGGCCACCTCTGCAACATATGTTGATCATTGGCCTGGCAAACTGCAGTTCAATGGTACTTCAAAATGAGGCGAAGAAATTGGCACAGTCTTGGGTTCTAGGAAACTGGAAGGGATACGAACGTACCAAATATATGTTTGAGAAATATAATGTGACATCCCAAGGAAACACAGGACGTGGGGGTGAATACAAGCCGCAGGTGGGATTTGGGTGGACAAATGGGGTTATATTGGATTTACTGGTGAGGTTTCCTGATATCAAAATTGCAAACAACGGAATAAAATTTGATGTGGCAATGTTCCTGTTTTGGGGCTTAGTCACAGCTCCACTTTTATTAAACTACCTATAATTGCTTAAACTAGTTTATAGTGAAGCTAGATGATAAAAATGTTTAGTAAAATATGTTTTAGAATATATAACACAATATATATAGTTCATCTTATAATATAGAGTTCTTGAATAAAACAAATATACAGTTGTATATGCAAGTGTACTGAGTTTCTCCAATCTACTATTTCCCTTTTCCTTTCTTTCCCTTGGTATTTTTCTTTCCAGTTGTCAGAGCTGGGGCTCTTATCAAGGCAAGTGGTTTGTGTTCACTCTTCTGTGCTTTTTGTACTGTTGAAGTTTCTATGGTTTGCTTAATTTGAACTTCAATTTTCTATTCAGAGTAACAAAACATAACCAAATATAAGAGCTCAACATATACCATTTAAGAATGCCATGAAAATGTTATGTCTTGGGCTCACATATTTATCATAAGAATTCGTTTTCCGCCTGTCAAATCTCTAGCTACGATATTAAAAAATAACCACCTCATTTATTGGGTAATAAATTTGAAAAGAATCTGAGCTTAGTCCTCTAGAAAGACCCTCTAAAAAATTTATTTCGGATTTCTTTTCCAATTCAACTGGATATTTCGTTTCCTCACGACCTCACCTTCTTCACGATCACAGCAGAACTTGTTGTCCCCTTTTTTGGCTTGATTGCTCTTCCTTATAAATTATTTAACAATATTGGTCAATCATTTACTCAAATTTGATGAAATAAAACCAAAAAACGACGTAAACTCAGATATGGTAGTATCAATTGCAACACTACTAATAAGTGACTAATTGCAACACTTTGAATTCTAAATATTTTCGAACGCTTATTTTCCCGCCAATAACTTGATAAAACAAACAGCAAAAACGGTAAATACCTCCTTTCTTCACCCCTAAAGATTTCTTCTGGGTTTTAGCCTTCTTAACCATAGCACTTGATTTCCTCTTGACACTTCCTTGAGGCATTGCTACGAAAAACTGTCGTGATTTCGTGTAAAAAATGTATTTGAGAATTGAGATAATTTGCCACCCTTAATTTGTAAGTTTGTTTATGTGACGCTATCCCTTGATGCTTCGCAGTATTTGCAAATCATGAAATTTTGAGGAAGTGGAAGCATCAATACTAATTTTTTGCCTTTGCTGACGTTAGATTGACGGCACTGGTTCCCTTTTGCTCATGGTAGTTACCACTGACCAACCACGATCCGAAGAATGAAAAAATGCCATCTCCCTCCTCGTTTTCAGTTTTCACTAAGACAAGACTTTGTTTTTACGACGTTTTCTGAGGAGTCACAAGCCAATGTCGAAAATCTAAGGGGGTTTAGCGTTTTACATCAACCAAAACTAGGGTCTGAGTATCAATCAGAGACCAATGGATCGCTTTACAGACCAGCATTCAGTTATTTAATAGCGACCACTAGCAAGTAGCAACCGACAATACAAATATGCAAAAAATATTGCCCTAAGACTGCAAAACTTTGTTTAGCTAATCATTCCGGGCAAATCTGCCAGGAAATTACCGTTTATTGCACGAGTAAACTGAATTAAAAACAACAGTTAATCACAGTATCTATTGTTGTTAATGCGTTCAGCAATTAGAAACGCGCAATTTGCAACGGACAATCCGTTGGAATGTTTTTTTCAGGTAATAAAAGGTGGTTGAAGTCGAGAAGAGACTCAAACTTGTAGTTTCGAAGAAGAAGGATCACTCGAAAAAGTTTAGGAAAGAGTTGGAAGAATCTTGCTCAGGTACATGGTCATGGTTGGTTATAAGAATCTGTTGGCTTGATCTTTGGTTATAAGAATCTTTTGGAAACTGAATTAATTCATCGCTGTGTTGGTTTGAATAGCCAGAAGCCATTAGCAACTGAAGGCGTATATTTTCGCCGATTTTCACTCCTATATCTTGTATATTTCGATTCAAAATTAATGTCAAATGCAAGTAAGCTGTTACTTTAATTTAGTTTTCCTTGCTTATTTGATTTCAGAACGAACTATGGCGCCGAAAGATGGGGAAGGAGAAACGTAAAGGCTTGCTCGCAGCGAATAATAGGTATTGTTCTACTAATATATGTGTATTTTGCATTTGTGACTTGAAATAACACGTTTGTACACGGTTGGCGAAATTGCAATAATAGTTTAATCGAACTTTTTGGGACTTTATCCCAATCGGCTTCCCCAAGAAATGACTAAAACTTTCTCGGACAGTTTGAAACTAAAACTTTCTCCGGAGGAGTTTTCCGGACACGATTGTCGTATCGTGAATATTGTCCGTTAACTCCGTTTCTGCAGGGAAAGACCTGTCATCATGTATTGTACTTTGTGCTAGACTTGACGCTGATGTGCTGAGACCTGAGTTATTTCAGCCTGCCTATTGTAGTTTTCTACTTCCAAAGTATCTCAGTCATGGATTGCTGGTCAATTAGTTTTACCAGTTACAACAGAACAAAAAAAATACTCTGAAAGCAAATCACTTTAACATGCCTTCATATGCCCGTGATATGTTCTGTTTTACCGAAGTTTTTTATTTTTTAGAATGAAAGAAACGTTGGAGTGGAGAGATATCGGTCTGCCTTGGGACATTTAAGCACGCAAATACAAAACTTGATTTTAACAAAATATGCATGAGAAAAATATGCATGAGATTTGGCTTTTTTTGGTCGTGTCAAGCGCATGCGGAGTAAATACGAGTGATTTGGGGCCCCATCACTTGTATTTTCTCCATCTTGAACGACAATAGTCCGGAACAAAAATATATCGCTCACAGAGCGCCTAAAACGTAAAAATGCATGAGAAATTGTATTTCTAGAAGTATTTTCTTTTTCTCGAGACTATTAACAAAACGATGAATATTTCCTTCAAAACGTGCATGATATTTTGTATTCGCGTGCGCAATGCGAAGGCCTTGGACGAGTGGCGTTGGAGATGTTGAAGGTATACAATCGTGTTTTTATCAATTTTTTTTATCATTTTATCCTGAATTATTTACACTAGGAGTTCTATTTGTTTCTTGGAAATTAATGAGATAATTTTTTATATACGTTAAGAGATCAGATGATGGAGGATCGTCGCAGGATCAGATGATGGAGGATCGTCGCAGGATCAGATGTCGAAGGTCTACAATCGGGTTTTGAGTGATCATTAATCCTGAATTCTTTATGCCATTTATTTATTGGAAATTAATTAGATAATTTTTTTATATACGTTAAGAGATCTGAGATCAGACGATGAAGATCGTCGCAGGATCAGATGATGAAGGATCGTCGCAGGATCAGATGATGAAAGATCGTCGCAGGATCAGATGATGAAGGATCGTCGCAGGATCAGATGATGAAGGATCGTCGCAGGATCAGATGATGAAGGATCGTCGCAGGATCAGATGATGAAGGATCGTCGCAGGATCAGATGATGAAGGATCGTCGCAGGATCAGATGATGAAGGATCGTCGCAGGATCAGATGATGAACTTATCGTCGCAGGATCAGATCAGATGATGGACGACGAGACGGGTGTACAAGCAGAAGCTGGTTGAGGTATATACTATAGGTATACTAATTAGAGTAATGCATGATTAATGTTAGTGCATGATTTGTGCATGGATTGATTCTTGCTGGTGGTCTAACCTAGTATATTCACACATCAAGTGACATTTCACCCTTTTCGACAGTGCATGATCACAGAAAATTTCTCACAGCTCTTTTGAGGGCGTTTTCGAGCTTTCTCAATAAAACATTCCTAGTTTTGTCACTTGCATGTGAATTTTAACGACTTAAGGTGGTGTTATACAAAAAAACTAGCATGGTTAGATTGAAAAGTATTTCAGCAGTGATTTCAAGACCACCACAGTGACTGCGAAAGATGCATGATGGCTTTAAAATGTTGAAATAAAGTAAGACCATGCAATTAGCTTGGTCGACGCGCACGCAGCGAAAAAAAAACGAATTCGTATTAGCCTAATTTTAGATTAATACGAATGTAATCGCGAGTACTTATATGATTATATAAGTTCTCTGTTCAGCCTGTTATAATGCGACCGTTCGAAGGACCGTCTGTCAGTGGCAACAAAAATTACACTTTCGTCTTTGAACATTTAAATTCGGATTATTTAAGTTTGAAACGAAGAAAAAATTACTATTGGATGTTTGACACAATCACTCTTCTGCTTCCCTTGTTTGTATTCTTTCCCTTGTATTATTTCTATTATTTTTCGTATTGTAGTTTAAGATCTGATAATCCAGTTAATCTCAAAGACTCAAACATTAAGGAAAGAAACGTAATCAAATTATTTTGACTAACTTGACGAAGTTTGAATAAGAAGGAAAATCTACTTCTTATATTACATGATATATTACATTGCATGATAATTTGGGGCTTGTATATAATGCAGGGGTTATCTGGGGATATAGTGGTTGTTGAACTTGTAGGTTAATATTGTATTGTATACACCCTCTTGCCTGAAAAGCCAACCCTTTAAAGAAAACCTTTTGTATTTTGACACACTTACTATGTTGTTTAATTTCTTGCACGTCCCACCGTCGAGATGTTGTTGAAGAAGAACGCAACTGTTTGGAATGGAGCAACGAAGCAAAGAAGCAAGTGAAATTCGGTACACTGTTTACCAAATGTGCGAAAGGTAAGGAACATTTGATATTTGCCATATTGAGTGAGTTGCATGTTGAGTAAGTTGCATGTTGGGTCAACCGTAATCTAGAACGTATAAAAAAAGATAAAAACAGTGCATGAGGTGCATGTCTTAAGAAGGGGTCGCGGAAGAGTGTTGTTGTCTACATCGGTTTGAAATGAAAAAGCATGCAAGTCGTGAATACGAAGCATTTCTTTATCAAAAAATGAACATATTTGAATAATTCGGAAATAATTTTTGTTGCCATTGTCGGACAAAGCGCATTTGAATTTCTAAGAGCATGGCGATAAGCGCGCTGCGCGGGTTAGACCACCCGCAGGATCGAATTGACGAAGCTCAAGAATTGAGTAGCAATTCCTGGGACTCCATTAGGATGAATAGAAACTGCATGAAACGGTGAACTATAGATAAAAACTGGACTGTGATTGCGGACGATTTCTAATGAAAATACCAAATTCGGAACGCCGGTCAGGTAACCTGAAATTCAGGTTATCTTTGGAGGGTTTTTCACCGGGCACTCCGGTTTCCCTCCTTTTCGTTTGGTTTTAAAAAACAGTGTCCATGCCTGGGGCCAAACCAAAACGTGTTCGTTGATAATGATAAAAACGCGTATGTGGCTTCTGGGTTCGATTCCCAGAACACTGTCGTAAAAGAATTATAAAAACGAACGGAACGCCATAGAAATCTCTGGCAATGAGATCTCTCATTCAGTACTAGAGTTAGGTCTCGCGGTCCTCCTGCAAAAACATCAACTTACGATTTGCCAGCCTGACGATTTGTTCCGCTATGCTAATATTTTGGTGTTCACTGACTGTGAAAACAATAAATTCCTAAAGAAATGAATAATGATAATAACATGAAATTTACATAGCGGGACAAAATCGTCAGGCTCGCTACGTAAACAAATAGGAAACTCTTCGTTGAAATTCCACCTTTTCTTCTTCCGCCATTATGATAATTCACTTCGACGATTTTAGCGGCTGGCGAAGCGGGTGGAGGAGGAAGAGAAAATGGCCGCACATTTGACTGGAGGACGAGTGAACATTGGTTTGTTACGCGAGGCTGCTCGTCGAGAATTGCTCAGTTGTCTTGATGAATGCGAAGGAAGCAAGGTGAAGTGTATGAATGTTACCGCACTTGTAGGATTTGGAAATTTTTTTCATAGGATTTCAGCCACTTTTATTGTGCAAATATGATAATGAATATGCGTTGTCTAATTCATATTGTGATGGTTCTACTTTGAGTTACCTGTCGGAACCGTCTTGACGTAGCAGCTCAGTTGGAAAAGCAATTTACTAGCAAATCAAAGATTGCTGGTTTTATTCCTACCGTGGTCAGACTAATTTTTCAGTTTGACAGGTTGCTAAGCCAAGTGCTAACCTCACAGTAGCACTATCAGATAAACAATTCCTACACCTAAGTCACATGCATTATCATTATATTTAAATCAATCATTGTACTTTGTCGATACAGGCTTTGGTGTGGGATGATGAATTAACAGGGCCTTTTGGTTTGATTGCCGAGTACTCTCTGTTGAAGGTAAGTTATGCCTGCATCCATTTTTCAATGTAATCTGTGTTGGAAATATATGGATCAACCCTTCCTTAATTAAACTTTCATCTTGTAGCATTCTCCTGAATATTATAGGAGCATGAAGTCGATGCAATGTTTGCACTTGCGCCTGGCCGTCTTCCGAAGAATTCCGTCCAACATATCGTGTTTATTACCCGAGCAAAGGTCTCGCACATGGAAATAATTGTAGACAATGTTTTAGCGTAAGTCATTTATTTTGTGTTGAGAAACATCCAATCCAGGTGTTCAGCCAATACAGATGAAACTAGATTACCTTTTACTTATCCATTTCCATTTTAAAATATCTTTAGCGAAGAGAAGGGTCAAACAAACAAGAAAGATTATACTGTCCTGTTTGTGCCCAGAAAAACATTACTTTGTGAAAACTATCTCACGGTAAAAGAATTTTTCACTTTTGGTAGGGTAGCCAAAATTTCAAATGCCGAAAGTTTTCCCTTTTGGATGGACTTTCAAATTGTCGGAAAACTTGTGTACCAATTGTATTTGTTTCTTATTTAACTTAGCAAAGTGGTGTGGGTTTCATTGCAATGAGGGAATATCACTTGGATCTGATACCATTTGAAAATGATTTGCTCAGTTTAGAAATGGAAAGTGCTTTCAAGGTATAACAATCCTCAACTGCTTGAATTCAACATATTGGATTTATAGCACAATTTTTACCACTCATATTGCAACCACATCCAATTGCATTTCAAATCAGCATTGATCCTTGTACTTTAGGAATGCTATTTAGAAAAAGATGCAAGTGTGCTCTATCATGTCACAAATTCATTGATGAAAATTCAAGCATTGTATGGGATCATACCAAAAATTTATGGCAAAGGGGAATTGGCGAAGGTGTGAATCTTGTTCACAGGCATATATGAATGCCTTAAAACTTTAGGATATGAGTTGATAATGGAAATAACTTAGAAATATCTCTTGTTTTGATTCATAACTATTATACAACTGTTTCTATATACATTTTCAATCATTTTTCACAGGGTACAGTTGATATGATGTTGAGAAAAAGAGGGGAAGTTCTCAATTCAAAATATCAAATATCATCTCAGATTGATTGTCTGTTGCTCATCGACAGAAATATTGATCTTCTGACACCATTATGTACGCAACTTACTTATGAAGGACTTATTGATGAGATCTATGGAATTCAGAATAGTAAGTAGCAGTTGTTGTAATTGTTTGAGCACATAAAATAGCTAAACTCAAGCGTAAAATGAATTGGCTGTGAACATTTCATGAAATTTGATAGCATTTTCCCCCCCTTATTTCATGTGACAAAAAATTGTGCAGAAATAGTGTTTTTAATCCAAATGTTTTCTTTTCAATAGCTACAGCGAAATTTCCTCCTGAGAAGTTCCAGGTTCCTGATGACAAAAAAACAGGTCCACCCCAACCAGCCCAGGCGCCAGGCCCCAAGAAGATTCTGCTTAATTCTGCTGATCAACTTTACAATGAAATACGAGACTCGAACTTCTTGGCAGTTGGCCCGGTTCTAAGCAGGAAAGCAAAGAAAATTAGCGCTGCATTTGAGGTAAAAGATATGTTTTTCAACAGAGTAATTTTCAGGACCGTAGAAGATCAATCCATCCTTAAACTGATCTTCATAGAGAGTTTTGTTTCTCTCTTTCCAATGCTTCTCTCGGTAACCTGAATTTGCCATGGTAATGTAAACATATCACTGGATTTTCTAGGAACACAAGGGAGCCAAAACAGTCAGTGAAATGAAACAGTTTGTGCATAAGCTTCCTCACATACAAGCTGCAAAATATTCTCTAGCAACTCGTAAGTGTTAACAGTGAGTTTGATTCCTTCATCAAGCAAGAGACTACGTGTTTCTGGATAAACGACTGTCATCCAGAACGACTGGCATACGCCGTCCTTAAGAACTGACTAGACAACTTTGAACTTTCCAGTGTGTTTATAATAATTTAGATTTTTCTTTCAGACACCAGCATAGCTGAGCTGATTAAAGACCACACAGATACTGAATCATTTCGGGAAAACCTCCAAGTACAGCATGGTGAATACATTCATTCAACTCTTTGAATTGGAATATGTTTCTGCCATAATGATAACTAGTCTTGACAGCCTGTTACATGCAGTAAGGATCCTTCCCTTCACTGTTTTGAAAAAAATGATAAGAAATACTTTAAATTTGCAGAGTTCATCAGTGGCATTGATACTGATAAAGTGAGTCCATATATTGAAAAATTGATCGCTGTGAAGGAGCCTTTGGTCAAGGTAGGTCATTCGTAAGCGCTGTTTACAAGATTCACATCTCAGTGTTTCGAAATGACTTTGGGATATTGAAATGAGTATGTAACATGTTCCCGGTACTTGTGTAGTCCTCACAACAATAGCATCATCTGCTTGTTTTGTTTCATGAAGACTTATTTCAATACCTCAAAATCATCTCGCACTTCGTTGAATCTCAGGTAACCAGGCTTTGAGTAAATTGCCCGATAAACATACGTTTTTTATGAGAGATCAAAGTGCGGAGAATCAATGGTGGTCTGACTGGGAACCCCTTTGATTATTCTTCTTTTGGCCATTCACAATATTTCCTGCTCTGCTGATATTTTCCATTTTTAATACAGGTTCTCAGAATATTATGTATTCAGTGTCTTACGAATAATGGTTTCAAACCAAAAGTATTGGAGTACTATATGAGGGAGATTATCCAGGTACGTTGTTTAGTTCGTAAACTTCTCTATACTCTATTCCTACAAATACTGCGCGTTTACATCCAGAAAAGAAAGTTTTTCCATTTTCTTAATGCTTCAGACGTATGGCACTGATCTCTTTTACCGTGCGATAACACCACTGGATGCTGCAGGACTTTTAAAAGCAACAACTGCTCGTTATTTCCCCACACTTCGAAAATCATTTCATCTTGATGTGCGAGATGTACAAGAACAGGTTTGTTTCACCTCTGCTTTCATTGATCGCTTGAATTATTAGTTCTTGCTTTGTTTGTTTGTTCGTTTTTCTCGTTCCTTGGTTGTCCCACTTGTTTGTTTATTTGTTGAGTTGTCATGTTCTTGCAGGGACCGGTTGTACGAAGGCTTGATAGCGCTATCCACCCGATTTTAAGCCAATAATGAAGAGAAACGTTTTTTCAAGAATAGGAAAGTTCAATTCAAATTGTGCCAAAACACGGGCAATTTTAGAGCGATTGAAAAACCCACTACCCGGTAGATAACGCTATCCAACCTTCGTACAATCAGCTCAGATGACGTGAGATGACGTAGTTCTTGATATTCCCATATTCAGCACCCACGTGATATATCCTACACGTACTCAGGCTACGCTCCGCTCAGCATACGGTTGGCTCAGCACGCAGCAAGGCCTTCTGGTTGGAGAGGAATTGAAGAGGTATGGCACTAGCATGAAACAGACACATGACGTAAGCACCTCAGTGTATTGATGAACTTCAGTTAACCAGATGAAGTGAATGAGGAATAAGTTTATTATCACATCGTTGTGCTTCTAGGTACTAAAGTTGTTACCTGGTCCAACGATAGATGAGATTCAACACTTACCTCGTGGTTTGCACAAACGTATGTTCATAATTCACTTCAGATAACTTCATGATATTTGATATGCCTGGTTCCTCCCCAAAGAGATCATAGAGATGTGTATTTTTTCTACGTTCCTCTTTTAACTGGGCACATACCAATCATATTTATGTCTCAGTGGCTAAGAAGAATCTGTCATGTTTTAAATCCATGTTATAACGAAGTCCTGCCTGAGCAATACCTCTGAACAATAACACAATACAAGGGCTGCCGTATTGTAAAATATCCCAGTATTCCATTTGTCCTATTTCAAGCTAACTTGGTCACATAATACTCCCCTTGTTCCAAACATTTCTTAGTCTTGTCGTTTAGTAAAAATCACCTATTTTTAATAAAAAACTCTCCGTATTTTTTGACCCAGGTGGTTCATCGCTCAGTGGTAATTCGGAGTCAGGTGATGGTCCTCAGAAAGTCACCCTGGTCTATTTCATTGGCGGATGTACATACGCTGAGGTCGCTGCATTGCGATTCTTATCCCAGCAAGATAATGGTATGGTATGATACCTTATGGTGTTATTATGATCAAACCAAACCTCGTTTCATCCAAGTGCCAGATTTGATGAAACTCACGTGGAAATCCGTTAGCTTCGAAAAATGCTCTCTAAAATGCTATGTTTATTTTTTGCTTGTATTTAGCGCCGACGGATTACATAATCGCAACGACAAAGATGATTAATGGTAACACGTTACTCGAATCAATCATTGAACCAAAACCAGAAGAGAGTTCAAACCCATTCATGTAACCCACAATGCATTCAACAAGAATTAACAATCTCATTCAGAAACCGAATTATTTTTGTCTGTACAATAATATAATTAACAGTAGCGTTAGTTGAAATAAATTATGGCACATTATAATCTGTAGTATAGAATAGTATAGCCCATATGGTATAGCCACTATTAATACGTTTGGCATTGCATTCATAGAGATTATAAATAATACAATGTTATTTTATAATCTCTATGATTGCATTGCCCAATCTCGTCCCCAGGGTCTAATTTCTTCGCCCGTGTCAGTTGCCTGCAAGCGGGCTGCGATTAGTTGGCTGGGGCTGGGACTTGGGATTCAGCTGCTTGACGACAATAATTTTGCAAAATAAATGTCTTTGTGATGTTTTGACGTCGTTTTTGCACATAAAGGACCTTTAACATACAACATAATTCAAGCCAAAGATGGGGAATTGTCATACGGTTGGACCCAACGAAGTTTTGGTAATATCAGGTCAGTTTGCCTCTTTTATTTCCAGCAAAGATTGACCTGGTTCGTAGCAAAGATATGAGCGGCATTTAATGTAAACACATTTGTACTTTGAATGTGTGTCTTCTATCACAAATATCTCACGCTAAAACTTCCTTTTTTATGATTGTAGCTTGTAGACTTTGAAAATAATTCCATATATACGTTTTTAATTCCTAGCATTAGGAAGAAATCGCGCAAATTGTGAGAAATGTTTTCAAAGATGTTTTATATGCCTCCCGTGGACCAAACCCAAAAATATTGCATTTGATAAAAAAATCGTTTAAATTTTTTCTTTAAAAAGTGCTCTGCCTATACCATTTTTGAGTTTTGTTGGTCAAGTTCTTGAAATTGCTTATTTTACTTAAGTATTTTGCTTAAGATTATTGTGAAATTGAAATTATTGATCTTTATAGAAATTACGCGTCATGTTTTGTTTTTTCCGTCATTTTTGAATTTTGATATTTGTCATATCTGGATTTTTGTTTTATCTGGTCCTAAATGTTATTGATAAAAGAATAAAATAAACAGTCTTATATATTTGGTATTTTGAACTATATTTTTGATGACTTATTGACTGGTATTTATTTATGACTTCATAGAATATTTCACATTTCACATTTGAAGTGGCTTCAGCACAATAAACTTGTCCGGTTCCTCCAATAATTTGAATAATAACAGCAATTTAAATAGCAAACCAATATCCTAGCCACTTAGGTTCCTCCATTATGCTTATAAACTGTTTGTAAAACTAGATTATACCAGACTGATTATGTCATTTGTATACCAATATTATTATTATACTTGTTGAGTAAACTACTATATAAAAAGAAATATGAGCTATAGGTTTAGACATTTACACAAGACCTGACCAGACAAATTCAGCGCACTATAATCACATGTTATATATGATCCTGTGGGACAAATTTGAGCATAGCTCTAACTCCTAAGTACCACATCTGTTCAGTGCGCATGCCATTGTAACATTTAGCATTGCCAGGCTCATAGAAATAAATTGTTTTTGCAGGTGGATGCTGCCAAGGAGCAAATCCCAAACCAAAACTCATTGTTGGAGGATTTGGCTGGGCGTGGGCGTTTGTTAGTGATGTCCAAAGGTAGATTTAATGATTTGTGTTCTCGTATTAGAAGAAGACTTCAAAATGAACTAAGTTGGTTTATTTATTTTCTAAATATTTTAAATACCAGACTCACCCTGGAGGTGATGACCCTCAATCCAAAATGTGACTCGGTTGAAACTGCCGAGGGTGTTGCTGTTACGGTCACGGGCGTGGCTCAGGTGAAGGTGATGCAAGGTGATCTATTGGCAACAGCGTGTGAACAGTTTCTTGGAAAAACCATAGATGAAATAGAGAATGTCATTTTGCAAACGTTGGAGGGACATCTCCGAGCAATTCTTGGTACATTAACTGTTGAAGAAATCTATAAAGGTAGTGTTTGTAAAGCGTTTTGTTGTATAACTTTTATGAAGTTTATTCTATGGCTTTTCTTTCAATCTGTCGGAGTCAAAGCCCACTGATGTCTTTCCTTCCAACTTCTCTAGATCGTGACAGTTTTGCCAAACTGGTACGCGAGGTAGCCTTACCTGACGTGGGCAAAATGGGTATCGAAATTCTTAGTTTTACCATCAAAGACATTGAAGACAAAGTGCAGTACTTGGATTCTCTCGGTAAAACTCAAACTGCAAAAGTAAAACGTGATGCAGACATCGGCGTGGCCGAGGCAAATAGAGATGCAGGAATTAGGGTATGTACGAGTGTATGATATGTGTTTCCTCCGTGACCTACAATAGATTGAACCATTTTTTTTGTCCTGCAATGCAAGGAGGCAGAATGTACCAAGGAAATGATGGATGTAAAGTTCTCAACCCAAACGAAAGTTGCCGATGCTTCGAGAGAATATCAAATGAATAAAGCAGCGTTCGACCAGGAGGTGAATACTAAAAAAGCCGAAGCTGAGTTGGCGTACGAACTGCAGGTACCGTAACATTTATTTGCTCGTTTTTGGCCTTCAAAATTTGTTCAGAAAGCAATAACAGTTCTTGTTCAAAAACCTGACTGCCAGGCTAACAAAGAGAAGCAAAAGATTCGCGAGGAAGAGATCCAAATTCAAGTGGTCGAACGTCGAAAGCAGATTTCTGTTGAAGAAAAGGAAATTGAGAGGAAAGAGAAGGAACTTACAGCAACTGTAAAGAGACCAGCAGAAGCTGAAAGTTACAAAGTACAGACTTTGGCACAAGGGCAGAGGTAGGATTATGATTATGGTTTGTGTTGGGCTCAGTTTCGCTTGGGTAGGTTCTTTAGTGACAACCCTAAATGCCAATATATTCTTGTAATTTTGCATGGTGACTACAGTATTTATTGTTGCATACCACATATATTTCCATGAATCAATCTTTCTTTTTTGAAGAACAAAAACTGTAGCTGCTGCTCAGGCTGATGCAGAAAAAATAAAGGCAAGTGATTATAAAAAATCATCAAGCTATATTTGCTTACTTGCTTAAATTTCTATGATCTTGGTTCTCATTGTGTTACACTTTTTCACGGTTTAGATGGTTGGTGCGGCGGAAGCTGCGTCCATTGAGGCAATTGGTAAGGCTGAGGCTGAGAGGATGAGGCAAAAAGCTGCTGCATACAAGCAATATGGTGATGCTGCTATGATGTCTCTGATCTTAGAGTCATTGCCCAAGGTAAGAGAAACAAAGTTAGTTTAGTTTAGGTTTCCTCCTGTAGTAACACTGGATCAATAAGAGATGATCCTTACTGGACCTCTAGAAGAACAGTTTAGAACTGATGGATTATCCAGTAAAATAAAGTTAGTTTAGTTTAGGTTTCCTCCTGTAGTAACACTGGATCAATAAGAGATGATCCTTACTGGATCTCTAGGAAGAACAGTTTAGAACTGATAGAGCTATCTAGTATAAATAAAGTTAGTTTAGTTTAGGTTTCCTCCTGTAGTAACACTGGATCAATAAGAGATGATCCTTACTGGACCTCTAGAAATAAAGTCTAGTTTAGTTCAAACTACCCCCTCCTGACTAATGGCACAGAGCATACAGAGGTTTGACCTTGCATTAATTATGCGTTCCTAGCGGCCATGTTGTTAGCCAGTGCGCTAAAGAGAGGCCCTATCCCCCCCGAACATTATAAATAGCCATCGCTATATAAATAAACAGATCGCTCCCACTTCTATACTCTTCTATACTCTTCTAAAGGATAAGAACTAACAAAATCTGGTTTTAAGAAAAAAATTGAGCAACGTTTTTGTCAAAAATACGATTTTTCCAGATAGTTCTGTCTCGGCTGTTTATATTCCATACATGTGTTCAAGCCGCCGCCATATGCATGCTTTCCCGGGGGGAGAAGGCCTCTCTTGAGTGCACTGGCTAAGCCAGGGGTACGCAAAATTAACGGCAGTCAAACCTCTGTATGCTCTGTGCTAATGGTGACACAGAATAAGGGATGAACTGATTTTACTTTAACAAATGACTAAAAAGAATATTTGTTAATTTTTCTTTCAGATCGCTGCTGAAGTGGCTGCACCTCTTGCTAAGACAGAACAAATCGTCATGATAAATGATGGTGGTAGCAACAGTGTATCAAGTGAAGTTACGAAACTGGTCGGCCAGTTACCACCAGCTGTTCAAGCTTTGACCGGTGTTGATCTCTCTAAGGTACAGTAGTTTGAAGTGCTATATTGACAAGTTTCCAGGGCTGTCCAAACCAAGCTAGTTCTTGTTTATCTGACCATTTATTCTCATGCTTAGGTTCTTGGAAAGGTCCCTGGTGCACAAGCTGTGTAATATAGTGAAGAATCCTAACCAGAACATTAGTAATTGATAAAAATGATTTTAGAACATGTACTGTAATTATGAAAATGATAACGGAATGTAATCAAGAGGCTGAGGGCAATAAGGTATTGTTTGGTGCAGAAGCAAGGTGGTGATATGTCACAGCAAAAACTCACCTTACCTTGGGAGGTGTTGAAGGGCTTTCTTGTTGTAGCTCGCATTTAGTAAGAAAGAAATAACAGTCACAATAATATGCTAAATTAAACATACAATTTCTAAGAACACCGATTTAACTTTAACCTCATGCACTTACTTTACTTTAAAGATAATGTTAAGAAAACATCATTGCATGTGAAGGTCTCCCTCAGTGTGTGCAGGTTCTACAATGTTGTTCAATGGTTTGTGCTGAAACACAAGCCATGACATGTTTTAATGGCTTGCAATCAACACTGAGCTATTGTGTGAAGAATTTTATCATGTTTAGGAATTTGCCACATCTGATTTCAAAATGGAGACTATAGTTTACAATGCTTAATATTTCATCTATTTATTCATAGTGAAAACAGCTTATAGTGCCACCTGATAGTTTGTAACTAGTGTTATTCTAGTAGGTTAAATAATACCACAATGATGTTGTATAAATTTATATAAAACTATTGAAGCAATACAATTCTTTCAAACTATTCTCTTGAAGTGTTTATGAATACTCTCTGTCAGATTGTTAGATGGGCTAAAATGTCAGGGCATGGTGATCTACTTATTTCTAGAGCATTAGTAGTAACAGCTGTGTAAATCTCAGCCGTGTGTTTGTTGTTTGACCATTGTGACCTGCGTGATCTGGTCATTTTTTTGCCAGATCTTGTCAGCATCTGGTGCACCTTTGAAAGTTGAGTGATTGGTGATTGGGTGACCACATTTAGACCAGGAGGGAGCATTTAACTAGATTTGAGCAACTTTGGTTAAATTGGCAAATATGCTCACACTATTCAGTTGTCATCTCTGGTACCCCTGACCCCCAGAGATAGAATATGTTGACTACAAGCTCCAGAACTTGTAACTTTTGTAAGCGCACTGAGTGCGGCGAACATTGTTCGGCATTTTTTGCGTCTGGCATAAATTCCGCCGTCAAACATCAAACCTGTGATTGGCTGTGAATAAAATATTCTATTTTCAATTTTTCATGTTCTTTTATATAAATTTTACAATCATTCTGACAACTTCATCTGAATTGGAAAAAGTTTTAGGAAGAAAAGCGTGGTTCATTTGGGTTGAAATATATCTCAGGAAGGGATGTCTTCGACTAACGGTGATTGGCAGTCAACTGCTTTCCGTCAAAAAGTTATTTTAAACATGTCAGTTCTGTACTTTAATTATCAGAAAGAAATTGTGTTTTATTCGTGATAAATCTTTATGAAATATGCCTTAAAATCCTACTTTTTTAACTCCAAATATCATCAGTTCAAGTCTAGTTGACCTTAAACATTGAGAAAACAAGACAATTCTCAGTTACTTTGAGTCACTTTTTAACTTTCTTTTGCTGTTATGAATAAAATGTGGGTAGGAGGTTTGGAAAGTGAAAGAGCCACAGAACTAGTGTGTGATTCAAGATAATTACCTACATTTAAAACACCCATGATGTATGTAGGGTTGTTTTTCCCCACTAGATAGAGATTTATGTAAGGTTTTATTTTGCACTAGAGACATTGTCAATTGCAGCTTTTAAGGTTATAATCATGCCAGAGGTATGTGGTTATGAATTGAGTCTGAATATATATAATGATCTCTACTTTGTTTGATTTAATCATATTAGTGATGATGCTTTGAAGAAATCCGCCAACATGATTGGACCTAATGAAAAAAGTGCTGCAGAGATTGAAGACCAGATATTTGGACGATCAGCCAGCAGAGTAATTAATTTTCCTGAGTTTCTCTATTTTTATTTTGGCCCTATTTTAAAACTAGCTGTAAATGAATTAATCATATTTTTTTTGTTTTGTGTCTAGGATAATTACATGTCGATGGTTGCTCGCATCATTTTGCATTTACAGTCAGGTATTTGGTTGAGGTCATAGGGGGATATTTAGGAGGAGGGTTGAATTTTGAGTATGTGATGTAACCACAGTACAATGTCATTGTGAAGTGCCCTTAAACATGGCTGGTCAATGTTGTTGTATAGGTGGTCAAAACCAGACACAAACTGCATCGAATATGAACCAGGGTCCTATGACACCTATGATGATGAATTCTAACATGCAACAAGCTGGACAAATGATGGTTGCTGATCAAAATGGTACATACCATGCTTTCCTAATCTATTTTTGAATAGCTCTAGATATCAGTCATAAACTGTTAATCCAAGATATGTGATTATGTCCAGTAAGATCATATCTTATTGATCCAGTGTTTAAATATAGGAGGAAACCTAAACTAAACTAACTTTATTTATACTGAATAGCTCTATCAGTTCTAAACTGTTCTTCCTAGAGGTCCAGTAAGGATTGATCATCTCTTATTGATCCAGTGTTGCTACAGGAGGAAACCTAAACTAAACTAACTTTATTTATACTGAATAGCTCTATCAGTTCTAAACTGTTCTTACCAGAGTTCTAAATGAAACTATTTTACTTTAATCTTAGCCATGAGAACAGATAACCATTTGAAGGTGAAAAACATTGTGTATCATTTAGACTACTTCATTTTACTATGATTCAAATTGTTTTTGAGTTTATTTCCTGTCTTGATTGGTGACAAAGCAATTAATAATAGTAAAAATGTATTTATTCTGTTTTCAGATGTTAACTCAACAGTCACCTATGAGTGGCATTTCAACACCATCCCCAAAACTCCCTTTATATCATTCACCATCCCCTGCTCCAGTGCAACAAGGTACTATAGGTTATTATATATTTTAAACAGTTCAATTATGTTTCCCAGTTCTAATGTAACTTTGTTTTTTCAGTTAAACCAGGGGTCAAGACCTCAGGGGTGAGAAGTGTACAAGTTAGCTCAAACGCTGCTTATCAATCACCTCTTATCCCCTCTCCAAGTCCTGCAGCCCCATCACCAGCTCCTGCGTCATCACCAGCAATGGTAATCCACGGCAAACTGTTATTATTTCAAGTCAAATGGCCATTCAGCAATTTTTCTTGTCATTTTCTGTTTAAGATCCGGTTGAATGTTTGTGTACTTATTTTTAGATAAGTGCCCAGTCTCCTTCATCTTTACTTGCCTCGAGGATTTCTGGTATACCTAGCGTTGAGTCACCAGGATCATTTAATCCTCCAAGTAATCTTAATCTTGGTTCACAAGAAAGCCCGGGTAAAACTGATCTTTCAGACAAGGAGGAACAACTGTATGTTGAGAAGGTATGTGTGCTGTTGTCGTCACTGGGATTATATCAATGATGATAGTAATGATAATGATGATGTTGACATTGATAATAGTGATGATGTTGGTAGCAATTATATGGATAGTGACATTGAAGATTTTATGTTGAAGATGTGTTGAAATTTGATTGTGAAAAGAGTTTTTATATACCTCCAGCTCAAGCAACTGTCTGTGTATACAGAACCTTTACGGAAAATGATCGCTAAAATGCAAAATGAAGAAGGTTAGAATCCTTTTAAAATATGCCTTTGATAGAATGTTCACCTGCCGTAGGACTGACTAGTTGGATCTTTTGAAGTACCAGTATTTTGATGATTGTGAACCAGCTGTTACCACGAATCTCTTTCTTCATAGATGGGGCAAACAAGGACAACAGGAATTTAACAAAGTTGAAAAGATTATTGAGCATCCTTGGTAATCCTAAAGAAAGGTATACTGCACCCTTAATGCAGAATATAATATTTGTTATGTATGGAATGTAGTGTGTTATTGCATGACAAAGCAATACATTGGCTTTAGTTGATTTGTTGCCCATAAACATTGCGAGTCAACAGTCTATAAATCATGCATCAAAAGTGAATTGGATTTGACCAGATTGGATAGATTCAGGTATTAGAAATTCTGCATCTTTTCAGAGTTCCATATCAAGCGTTGCTGAAAGTTGAGGATGTCTTACGTCGGAAATTACCAGTAAGTCGGACGATGAGATGAACTTGAGGTTACGGAGTATTGTGAGTAGAGTAGAGATGTCAGTATTTCATATATTCTCTTAGTTTGAGGGTGAAATCAAGAAGGGAAAAAAAGATGACAAAAGCGAGGTAAGAGCAATGAATTTCACTTGTAAAAAGCGCAGAAATAGTCAACTTCTCATAATGACATTGGCTTCGCAAAACTGACGAGTCAATCAGATTTCTTGTAACATCAAGGTCTATAGTTGATTACAAGTCGCTTTATGACTATGTTTCAGCCATTACCCATTGGACATTCCTTCCTGGAGGCACTCCAAGGTCAAGCCAAAACAAATTCACTCCAATCAAACAACCGATTGTTCCAAATGCTGGCGCCGACGCTCGGAACGATTCATGGACCTGCAATTTGGTAAGGAAGAAGTACAAACTTGTACAGTGGTTGGTTTTTATGGGTGGAGGGGGGGGGGTGCACCCACACCTAAGCTCCAAAAAAACTTGGTTCCACCGCAGACCTCTTCGTTGAAGGCAGTGATTTTTGTACCCCTGTCATTGTCAATAAATTTGTATGTTCATTTCTATTCCACCTATGAAGCCCTCCGCAAGTTCCCAGGCTGCGTAAGGAGAGGCACGAACCAGAGTCACCCTTGCCTCACGTGGTGAAGTCAGAGATCGCGCGTTTGGCGGGCAAGTTCGCCGTGGATTATGCTAATGATGGCAACGATGACCGCGAACAAACAGTGTTGGTTTGCTCAATAAGTGAGTCTGGATTGATCGAGAATTTCACGTTGACCGATTTTAAAATGTTACAGTAAACTATGCTGGATAACGTACTCTACCAGTTCTAAACTAGGGAGAATAAATGACTTATTTTTAGGCGACAAAACATTGCCTGCTGTTCCAAACCTTGTGGTTCGCTTGCCACTGAATTATCCAGATTCATCTCCGCTCTATGATACGAACGATTATGGTAAGAAAATCGTGTTTTTTTCTGTATATATTATACATATACATGTACCATACAGCGATACTTACCATAGGCGACACTTACGTTAGGCGTAGGTTCTGTAACATCACTCTCGTCACGATACCAGCTGTGTAGCACTGTATTGTACAGTGCTGTCTAGTAATGTATACCATACCCTCCTATATCATACATCAATGTACACCAAACACCTCACACATCATATGGTATCATCACTACTTTTACATTTCAGAAACAAGCGATTTCTTACAGCGGATCAAGACGCGACTTAAAAACAAACTCGTGAGGTTACTCCGTGTGTACACTTTCACAACATTACTACTAAACTGGGTGAGACCTCTTGGAAAACTAAACTCTTATTGATCCAGTTGAAAATACTCCCGCGCCTGAGGTAATGAAACTTTTCCTTTAGGAGTCCGCTGTCAGATACGCCGACGCCAGATGTGAGAAAGTGAAAAATGAAATATAAAGATTTAGCAGTGGAAAAATATTTATATTATTATTTATAAAGGTATTAAAAGCTAGTCTACTTGTTTATCATTCACAAAGTTATGCCTAGCAAATAAAATTTCGACTTTCAAATAGAATTAAGTGTTAACAAAGATACGTTTCAAAGAAGGTTCAAGAAATAGACTTATGATATACGGTATATCTCGTTGGCAAGACTGGCAAAGTCATGAAGAAAGACAGTCATAGTTTAGGTTCTGGTTATCATGTAAATGATCTCCAATTTATTGGGGACAGAAAACAAACAGATATATCTTGGCACCTACGTATAGTGTGCTTATAAGTTATAACGTTCTTATAAGGTTCTGAGAGGACAATATAGCCTTTAATAGTTTTATGGCCCATGGGGTTAAAATAGAGGCTTTCGTCAGCTTTACGAAACGAAAGCAAAGAGTTGTAATAATGACAGAAAAATAGATGACACATCTCTAATGGTGGTGCAGATTTTTGACCACTGACGCTCTCTGGGTTGTGTGCCCCAGGAGATCTCTCATAAATACGAAGTTGCAGTTGCAGCACTTTAATAAACTTGCAGGAAGTTGCTACAGGCTTAAACAAGTTGCTACAACTTGATAACAACAATATTCGTGAGTTGCAGAATAATGAAGTGAACAAAATTGTTTTATTATTAGTATTTGGAGTTCACTATCTTGAATTAAACATCTTTCACAAACGCCCGCATTTGCAGGCTGATATGTTTCGGACCCTTTGCGTTTCTGACCCGATTCCTCAAGTGCTCGGCTGTGATTGGCTGATTTCGAGTGAAATGAATATTCAATAATTCTTGTGAGCAATATCTGACAGATGCGAGCGTCAACTTTCTTTTAAAAGCCTCGATAAAACCAGGTGAAAAAACAAATATACAAACCAAATATGCGACTGGTTTTGAGCTGGATGATACACCCTTTGTTAGGACGCTGTACAGCTTGAAAGATGCAGGAAAAACTTATACAACAGCTTAAGAAAGAGGTAAAGTCTGGAGCGAGAAGCGGCCATATTGTGTTATAGAGTATTTTAAAGACACTCAAATTTGCATTTGTTTGCCTTTTAAGCTTTTACGGATCGGAAATATTAAAGCTAGATTTGCAATCTAAAAGACTATATCTGTGAAACTATTTCTGCGAGTTTTATTTCAGAGATATATTGTTATTCTTATTGTTCATGTCATAGATGTATTTTTTTGGGGCTATCTTCATCTAATGTTCAATTTATTTACCTCAAAAGTATTTAATCTAATTTAGGTGAAACAGATCGTCGAGGAAGCAGTCACCCGAAAATTTATTCATGCAGATAGCACAAGTATAACGTCGCTTTGTGGTAGGTTTTTATCGGCAAAACTGTGACAGGAAGAAGCTAGCTGATTTCTGTGTTGCAGGATATTCACGGTCTCACTTCGTATCCGATTTCAAAATAAAGATTTCAAGGACTCTCAGTAACTCATTTTCAGCGATATTTGCAGCGTCTAATTTTCATGCAAATGTTAAAAGCGGTTGTTTTAACTACGGATTAATAACTATATTGTCTCGGACAATGTCTGTCTCTCTTGAAACATATGCTCCAAGCTAGACAATGCACTGACTTGGAATATATGCAATCTATAATGGTAATATCTCTGGGTACAAATCACTCTTATTTTACAGCCTACAAAATACAGCGGTATCTATTCACGTTTTTCACAACAAGCATACAGTTACTACTGTTACAGTGCATAGATTGTACATAGTGGGTTTGACAAAAAGTTAAAAACTGATTGATCATACTGATTTAAATTGGTGATTAAAGTCCCCCCCATGTCACTGTTAACTTTCATAAATGATGACAAATTATCATATAATACTTGAATTTTTAATTGAGCAGTATTTATACACTGGTATTGTAATCTATCCACAAGATTTTAACCTTGAGAACATGCCCTTTACAATATATCAAGAGCACTTGGGTTCACGCACTTGCATGTTTTAAGAGACATGGATGTTTATATTCTATTGTGGTCAAAATTTTTGTTCTTTGATATTAAATGTTATTGGCATATAATAAACATAATCCCAAATTCAACAAAATTGCATTAATATTTAATCATGAACTGCTGCTCTTGAGAGTTTTTAATTTATTTTTTCATTACATGGAATATGGGCCTTAACTTTTCTCATCATCTGTTTGTACTAAGAGTAAATATTTTGTAATTTATCCAGTGTAGTATATATACGCATGCAAAATATGTTTAAATTTTGGGAAAATTCATAATACACACATATATGCATAACTTATCTGTGTAGAATTTCATATATATTTTATTGCTAAATCCAGATGAATTTGTGTAAGGAATTGTGGTTTTAATGAGTTGTAATTCAGGGATTGCCAATAATTTTTGGTCACTCAATTTGAATTACAAATAAGCTTTACAAAAATGACAAGCAAAATGCCAATGTAATCTTCAGTGAATCACCTGTTCGTTGATGATTCTGCAGTATAGTCATTGCATGGATAGAGCAATGCCATTTATTTCAATAGTTTAACATATGAGACACAAACAGATAATTTTGTTTCAATTTATTTATTAAAACTGCTCTAAAAAACAAAATCTTTATTCCCACTACTTATTTCATAGCTGTTGTCGATGCCGTCATCAAAGATGGTTCTAAACGACGTGCTGGAGGAATCCTACCTCCGTACGACACGGAAACATTGCTTTTGAAACTATGCGAGGTGTCTGAGGCTACCAGAGTACTGGTAAGGAAGCTGTCAGGAACAGAACCAGATGATGCTTTTGAAGTTCATAAACCTTCCCCAGGTATGAATTGTATGTTTATGGTAAACCATAGCAGCCCAGCAATCTAGGGCCAGTTGTATACAAGACTAGTTAACTGTAGTTATTAGGGACAGAATTAGCCAACCAAAGTTGTGTATCTCTGAGTTAACTAGGATTTAACTGTGCAATATGCTCTTGCCACCGGCATCGCAAAAGCGTAGGTTCGATTCCTGCCGGAGGACCTATAGTTGACTCATTTTTCCATGCATCAACTGTTCCTGGCTTAAATTTGAAGTGTGTATAATTCCACTTGAAATTAAGACCCTTTAAACCTCTAGGATTTAACTACTTGCAAAATGTAGTTTAATGTATATACAGCATCTGATTGTTGGGCTACTTATGCGTGAGCTCACTGACTGGTAGATTCATAGGCCATTCATTCACTTTCCATTATAAGCAGATTGGAGACGTTCGGCTCCATCTGGGTGTAATTTAGGCTGAGATCTAATGATTTGTTTTAAAATCTTGTTGATTTTCAGGTCCAGAGGATGACATCAAGAAGACAGAGGTGAAAGTTAAGAAGTTAAACTTGGACCAATGCAAGCTATCTTATGGAAAGAATATCAAATTCTTGTGGATCAGAGTTGCATTGGTTGAGAAACTTCTAGCAAAGATTCTCGGATCCTTGGTGGAACATGCTGAGTGTGTATTTATTTGAACATTTCAAAAAGAAACTCTGTTGCATTCCACAAATTTCTTTCAAGACATTCTTATTTATACCCAGTTCTTTCTTTTCTCAGCAAATTTTATGAACCAACTGCAATTTTGGCTGATCCTGTCAATGGACCTCTTGTGGCTAATCTCCTTGGTATGGTAGTATTGCTTAGTGCACTGATAAGGGGCAAGGGGTTGACTAATTACAGCAGGGGAGGGTGTGGGTTCCTTTCCTGTGTTCAGGGTGTTAATGAAACTCTTTCATTTCAGCTGGACCCTGTGCCCTGGATTATTCCAAGATGAAGACGCCAGATGGGAGGTGGTCGGATCCCTCGGCAGATGAACTGGTTCAACGACATCGCATCCACAGTGGTTTATCGCTAAGACGACGTCAGACATCTTTTGATAAACCTCAACTTTCCAGCACCTCTCCCTTGCCCGAGGAATTTGTAGTCGCTCCGAGTCTGGCGAGGGAACATGTCGAGTCCTTGCATCAGAATGCTAGTGCAAATATGTTGTTTGGGAAAAATAACGTTGAAGTGCAACCAGTAAGTGTGGAAGCACTCGGTTACAGCAATATAATGAATAATATTATACAGAAGCGTCACTCAGGCTTACGTCAAGTCCTGATATCTATGACTTTAACCAGAGTTACCACTGATGATAATTACGAATGCATATGTTTCGACTTGAGTGCGTCTACTGTGAATATTCCTCACCTTATACCGTGCCCCTTACTTTGATATCGTGCTTGAAATTAAATTTCATTCAAATTTTCTTTACTATAAACGATGTGAATTCATTTTACCAGGCTTCAGGTTCGGACTGGGTGCCAGGTTATTTGTCTTTACACCAAACTGCTGAGTCGCTTCTCGTGAAATGGACGCCAAATGATCTGATGAGCGGCTCACCAGATGAACATCAAATGTTACAACACAGTAACCAGGCTATAACCATTGATACATTAGACGTGGTGTATGTCCACTGTCATCATAGAGGTGAGTGGTCGTGTATGTTCACAATCAGTTAGAGCTAGTGGTGTTGGTAAATGAGGCCCGTTTTAAAACGCTTGCAAACGCTCTGATGCATGCATGCTTGCCCTCATCTCAACATCCACGAATTTTTCACTTGTTCACGCCTATGAAAAGAGTAAAATCCTATTTATAATCCCGGCAACTGTAGGTCTGCACGGTGCAATATTTCGTGTGAACTGACTTTAAATGAGTTCGTATACCTGATACCATGCTTTTCCACAGGTGAGGCCGAGCGAGTGATGGTTTTAATCGCTCAGGATGGTGTTCAGCGTCCACCAATCAGGTTCCCAACAACAGGATCATTGATGAGATTCCTGGAATGCTTAGAGACGGGTTTGGTGCCCTATGGTAGGCTGGATCCGCCTCTGGCTAACGACACTGGTGGTGGTGAAACACTCTTCGATAAACACGAAGGAAAAATCGTAAAACAATCCTTGACCAGAGATTATGTCTTCCGCTTGGTACCAAGTATTTCACCTGAGGACATAGGTAGGAATACACTCTAGACTATCATAGGTAGGGATACACTCTACACTATCATAGGTAGGAATATACTCTACATTATCATAGGTAGGGATACACTCTACGCTATCAATGCAATGACTAGCGAAGTAAATAAACCGTCTCCAGTAAGTTTGAGTCAACTGTTGTTAGAGTCAAGTTAAAGTAGGGTACATCTGGCCTTGGTGAATGAGAATGATATCTGGCCTTTTTTGGGCCTTGACAAGAAAGCTTTGAAAGAGTAAAGGCTCATTACCTTACCACAAACACGAACAGTTGACGTTTTTCAATGCATTGACCAAGAGCGCTGTTTTCAGGCTTTGATAGTGACTTGAATTTGTGGGCGACCTCGAAGACGAAGACACGAAAAAAGAAGAAGTTGAGAAAGCTTGCTGACCGACCCAAGACACGACCACCGCCTCAAAGACTTGTGAAAAAACGAGGAACGGAAATGACCAGGCGAGTGTCTCCGATAGAGAGAAAACCAGTGTAGTTGTTGAGGCTGAAAGGAACTAAAATATAACCAAAAGTGAAGATGAAGTTTCTTCTCAAATATTACTTTTCTAAAGTGTCTTTTCAAAAGTTGACTGTCGTGATGTATTTTGACGTTATTTTGTAATGTTTTACTTTTTTCTCTCATTTCAGAGCTTGTTTAGAGTCAGTTTGCCACACAATGAAACACCAGATAATGTACAGAGCATTGAAAGGCTGTACGTGATTCATATTTTTAACCTAAACTTTTTTGATGATGGATACTGCGTCGGTTCATATACGGCTATTATGAATACTTCATGTAACATCTAAATTTTGTTCCAGGGTTGTCTCATGTGCGTCACCTGTCAACTGTAAGAAACCATCTCTCAAGTCTCGTTCAGCCCACGGTGGTCGCCGTTGATGACGTAACGAGCAAAGGATTGACGCGGGAAAAATGGTCGGAGCTGTATCGTGCTGGCAAGGTAGAGGATAGTCCTGACTTTGTTGGGGTGCGATTAAAATACCTTGACGCCGGCCTGGCTGGTCACTGCGTCAAATTACCATAGAGCTTCTTCCCTCAAACGAGTCTCTTTAATCCACGACAATCTTAGGTCAATTACATCGATTTTAGCTTGGCTGATAAAGAACCTTTTCCCCTGTAGTTATGTTCAGACGAAGATGAAATTGCGAAGCTGGTCTATCACGGTGGCGTGGAACATGATCTTCGACATTTGGTATGTGTTGTTTCGCCAGACAGCCCTAAAACAGAACTGCTATATTTGAATAAATAGTTTATATTTCGAACAAACACGTTATATAATATTTAAGTTTCAAACTGTCTCGTATCCAGGTCTGGCCGTATCTCCTTGGCTATCACGCGTACGGGAGCACGCCTGAAGAACGTGAGCACGAGGACAACGCGCGCGCGTTCGAGTATAAACGAATTCTCGCGGAATGGACCAACGTCGAAATTTTGATTCGCCAACGAACACGAGTGTCGGAAACCGATCGGGACAGCACGGCAAGCAGCGCGGGGAGTAAGGACGAGTTTAACGAGACCCCGGAACATGATACCCACGATACGAAAAACAATATTGAGTCGCCAGACAGCGGTAATGTATCCAACGGAAAGCTCACAAATGGATACCAGGATAACGGCACCCCAGAAGAACATTACTCCGGGTGTAATGGAACCCCGGGAGAAGATGACCGTGAAGAGACAAACCCCGAGGTTAATTCTCCAAAATCCGAACTCGACGATGAGAGCGGATGTTATGATTGTGTTGAGGAGTCCGTCAAGGTACCGATCTCGACCTACGAGAATGGTTCCTCGTGCGAGAAGTGCACCCTATGTGGCAAGAGTGCCGGGGATTATGAAGATTTGACGAATGGTTACCATGAAAATGGCGTGGATGGTGATACGGATGAGAGGCAACAGTGCACATGCAAAGATGGCAGATCGTCACGGCTTAGTTCCTACTCAGTAAGTTGTTCCTTGAACCTCTAATGTGAGTTGTGTGACTGCAGTTTAGGAACTGATAAAACAACATTCACTATTCATTGTCTTTCTATTTCATTTCAGGATGATTTGTTAGATAATTTTGCTCTCAATATTCATCGTATCGACAAGGATGTGTTGCGTTGTGACAGAAATTATCCTTACTTCAGTCAACCAAACCTCGAGAAATTACGCAGAATCATGTGCACGTAAGTCTGGCTGGCTTCCTCGCTAATTCGTGTTAAGCTCATCACCACAAGTCTAAAGAGACGTGAAGGGGCTTGTAGTGTCTGGTGTTTACTAATAAATACTAATTTCTGTGATTTTCTTTCAGGTATGTATGGACGACATTAGAAGTCGGGTATGTTCAAGGGATGTGTGATCTGCTAGCTCCACTGTTGGTCATTTTTGATGACGGTATGTAAAAACTGCTGCACCAAGGTTTTAAATATTGGACAATCATTGGTCCCAATGCTGCCTAAGAAGAAACCGGACTAACTTTTCATGAATTTTGCTTTCTCAGAAGCGAAGTCGTATCATTGTTTTGTTCTGCTCATGAAGAGGATGGATCATAACTTTCCTCATGGTGAAAATATGGATAAATATTTCGTCAATATGAGATCACTTATTCAGGTATAACATTAAACGTTGTTGGGTTAAACATTCGAGATTCGCGCTGGCTGATTTCGTGCGAATCCTAAGATCGGTGAGGAACAAAAGAGTTTGATATTTGAGGGTGTGCCTTGTGGTTTGTTTGATGTTTCTCACACTAACTGTCTTCATAAACGATTAAGTTTCTTACAACTCTTCCTCTCGACGTCTGATAGCTCTTCCTTCAGTCGGTTAGGTTTTAAACTAGTGTATTTTATCGTTTATCATCGTTTATAGATCCTAGATCCAGAATTATTTGAAGTGATGCAACAGAATGGGGATCTAACCCACTGTTACTTCTGTTACAGATGGTTTTTGTTAGACTTCAAGAGAGGTATGGTATATTTTGAATGTCGTAACGTGATGTATATTTGGATTCAATATCTGTGGACTGCACCATATCTATCTTTGATGGTACCTCCACTAATAAAAACCCTCTGATATAATCTCGTACTTTATATGCGTTTAGAGTTTCTCTACGAAGACATATTTCGCGTGTGGGAATGCATTTGGTCAGCGCGTATCTGTTCTTCCAAACACTTCGTCCTCTTCATCGCTCTGGCTTTGTTAAAGAGCTACAGGTTCGTACTTGCCATCTGGCGATTTGTTCAGTGTTTCAGTTTTAATCTTTCTCAATAATGGCAGCATGCCTTCCTAACACGAAGTACCTCACATCAGGAGCCGGTTGTATAAAAACTCTTAACTACATTTTAAGTAGTTAAATCGTGGTTAACTAGAAGATACATTATTCCGATTGGCCAATTCTGCCAGAAACTATAGTTAAAAGTTAACTACCTTTTTATACGACCGGCCTCTGTATTTTTCAAGCGCTGAATGTTGTTATATTTCTGCTATAGGAATATTCTCATAGATCACAGCATGGATTTCACGGACATCATTAAGTTCTTCAACGGTAGGTCAAAATCATTTCCTGGAGCGGTTTGTAACCTCTTGATCCTATAGCCTTTCCATTTCTTTCAGAAATGGCGGAGGGACACAACGCCACTCAAATCTTAGATCTTGCTCGAAGCTCAGTCGAGAACGTTACTAGGTTAATACAGAATGAATAGGAAGATAAACCTACCTGTCCAGCTCGCTAGGGACGGAAGAATAGATAGCTTTGTGCGAAGTTCTCGTTCCGTAAATGCTAGTTTCCACTGAGAAAAAATCTCCTTTGGATCGGAACGAACAGGAAAATTTCCTTTGTCGGTGAGTTCTCAGGCGGCATTCATACAAAGGAAACTTTCCTCCCCTGTGCGATTTAAAGGAGAATTTTCCTGAGTGGAAACTAGCCTTAAGGGAGGAAGATTAGGATATTATAAGCTGGTCTTCTCTTCGGCCGTATCGTGTTCTACACCATTTTCTTTCGTGTCAACTTCTTGGAAATTGCTTCAGAGAAACTGCCATGCCCTACTGAAATCACTCTAGGCTTTTCTAAGAAAGAGAGGTGGTGCAGATTTCCCCAGGCGGGATTCCCTTCATCTCTGATTGGTACACACAATGTCCTACTACCACAACCATATTAAACTTCATGACGATACGGTTGAACTGAAGGCCATAATTTTTGGTATTTTGATGAATTTACTGTTCATTGATGAACCATAGAATGCATTCTTGAGGCGATGTTAGTGCGAATACAACTAGCCAAATCTCATTGTAGAATAAACCAGAATAGGTCATATTTAACACTAAGTTAATATTAGGCTGTAGATTACTGCGACCTTTGCAAAGGTCCTTAAAAAATGGCTAGACCATTTATTGCGGTTGATTTTAGTGAAATCAACTAAATTTATTTAACAAACGTATAATGACTTGTGGATTGTCAAATTTTCAATTACATTTCAATGTAGTTATTCTAGTTGTCTTTGTAAAGTGACCACAGGCTTATCCTTCCGTCTTTTGACCCAGCAGCCAGCAGTTGTTCCGAGCAATTAGAGAAAGTCAAAGCATTCACAGTTTGTGTGTGATAGTTGAGGATCGCGAGCGGCTTTAAACTCTTCCAACTGAATACTCTCAATCTAAAGAAAATTAGAAAAATACAATGCCTGGAGCGTTTTTCAAGACGAAACGTCTTGCGTATTTGATGTCATTTGAGGTACTTCCAAGTCTGCTTGATCCATTTACTTACTTGCAATCCCAACCAGCAGTGGCGAAGATTTTGCAATCCCCACGAATTTTGACATCCGAGACACCACAGTTCTTTATTTTCACAGTGTTTTCCAACTGCAACGATTCCTCCTCAGTGAGTTTAAAAACGGTTAATTTGTCCTCAGCGGATCCAGTTATCCCTCGTTTCAAATCATTGTCAAAATCAATGCACATTACTGACAAACAAAAAACGATGTGTTATGGTAGACTGTCAAGCTTACTTAGGCAGGTTATGTTATTAAGAGAACTGTGTGGGAGAAAGTCTACCTGGCTCATTGTGTACTTTTAATTTTGATATCATTTTTGAAGATCCCAAATCCCACAAGATGACATCTCCACTTTCATAGCCAGCCAAAAGAACTGGTCTCTCTTTCGTGATGTTTTTCAGACACATACACATACCTGGTATAAATTGATTGTCAGTTGAAGCTATTATGCATTCTTAAAATGTCCTCTTACCAAATGATTTTGAAGAATCTGCTTTCAATTGGGTGATAATCTTCTTAGTTTTCAAACATACAATGTCAATCTGCCAATCCCAAGAGATTGATGCTGATTAACTTTGTGTTGAAGAAATGAAGATGCATGCATGACACCTTGTCCTGACCACTGTACTCTAACTAACCTGCGATTGATCCTCACTTGAGACAGCAAGACAAATAGAATTGCTGCACTGCAAATTATCTGAAAAAATTTTGGTAAAACAACTGTTTATTGGAAGAAAACTACCATTAAATTACTTAAGTCAATGAGAATTTACATTTTGTTACATACAAATTATTTCACATTTACAAAATCCAATGTCTGATACTTTTAGACTACTCTTGATTTCCAGTTTTCCAAGACACCATATGTGGACATTACCATCACGACCGTGACTAAATAAAGGTAATTGGTTTGAATCCAATCATCAAAAGTTTTATTTTGGTAGGGAAAGGGGTTGAAACCATTTTAGTGCTGGGTGTGGTTAATTATAAGAGGTGTGAAGTCTCTTACACTTGGTAGAATGAGGTTTCAAGTGTGTGGGGAGTAGAGGGAAATATTCTAGGAGTGAGTATCATGGAACAGTGGGGTGGATGCAGTTTTTTAAAAAGGAAAGGGATTTGATAAAATGCATTCTCTAAATCAGCTTTGAAAGTTAATATGGTGGCATTCATCTGTTACTACCTCAACACCTCACCATCCGTCAAATAGTCTACATTTAATATAGATTTATCATCATGACCATTCAATGTTAATTCTGCTCTCTTTGTCGTCAGGTCCCAAATGCTCACGACCCCTTTCTGGTCGCTGATGAAAAGATGAAGGTATACATTGATTGATTGGGTTTAGTCTTTGGTATTTTTGAAAAGAAAGCTTGAGATGAACATATATTACTTGACCATACCCAGACAGCAACCTTTGTCGATCTTCGCCGGTTGTAATAAATTTGACGGCAGTGACGGGAGAGCCCAGCCCACGAAATATGTAAATTGGGTCTGGGGGTGGCCTAGCCATCAGGAATTATTACTACGAAATTGCATGGTCACTTATATTACATCTAAAAATATTAAAATTCTACATTAGCCTGTAACCAAAAGTAACCAGAATATCTAAGAAGGTATCCCCCATTTAATAATCCTTACATGAAGTAAAGCAGTGACCAACAAATATTTTTATTTTTTAAAAATTTTAAAATCGTATAAAAAAGTTTGAAAATGAAACGAAAGCATGAATCAGACGCGATATTAACTACGAGTATCGATTGTGGAAATGTGGATGATTTTCGAGATCAACTATTGGAACCAGAGGAATTAGTGCGGGTCGTTAAACGTAAGTTGTATTTTTTGACAATTGACAGTTGTGTTTTTTGAAAATGTTCCGTATTAACTGCGCTGTTTATAAACAAGTCAAGTTTATCGCACGAAGAAATAAAAGTTCATAGCAATATAATCAGATAATGGTGTATTGCATGAATTTGGTTTACAGGAGTCAAGTGAAAGATGAATGTTACCTAACTACGTGCAGAATAACCATAATTTTATATTGTGAATATTTTCTTCCCAACTAGTTAGTGGTCAGCAACCTAACCTTGCTTTACCACAAGACTGGGTTGGTATCTACCATAAGAGTGGTGGAATTGTTTACCTGAATCGAAAAACAAGAATATGCACTTGGTCACGTCCGTACCACATCGGGGGAGCCAGTGTTAGGGTAAAGTATGATTATATTGCGTGGATATCTCTCTTGTGGCTGTCGAAATATGTTGTTTACTTTGCCAAGGCTGTTCATCAGTCTAACCAATGGAAAACAAGTATTTCTGCTGCCTTATATCACCTTCTCAAGCAAGACCTTTGAAACTAATACTGCAATGATTGGTTTGGTATTAATATGAAATGTTCATTCGTAAAAATGAAATATATTTTAAAGAGGTAAACTCAGACAGATTAGCCCATAGAAAGACAGAAGCCAGGAGTATTGATTTCAGTTTCATTTTAATTTCACAATTGTCTGAAAGAGAAGGAAGAGAAACAATCTCTTAATTGCTAACATGTAGACTAGCTTCAGCTGAGACTTCCCAGTTTAGTAATAAGATATATCGGCACTTATTCCTAACATAAATGTTCATCTGATCAGAAACACAATGTCCCAACTGCTGCAATACCATGTTTGCATGAGTTCCTAGCATCGAAGAAAGAACAGAATACTCACAAGAAGAGAAAACCGCTGGATACCATACATGATGGTAACATTGGTCACCATACGGGTAACCTTGACAACCATTGTGATGACCATGAGAACTATCTTGGTAACAATGGCAACAATGCTAAATGTGATGTGAAATTGACAATGGACAGTGTTGAATTACAATCTCCAATGATTATGAAGGGTGAAAATGATTGTGGTACTTGTGGTTGTGTTGTGATCAAGGATAGTAGCAATATTGATGGTGGTAAAGGTGACAGTGGTAGTAACCAATGTAATTCACATGGTTTGGAGGGTGGAGATAACCTAGTTGGTAATGATAGTGGCAGTAAAAGCCAGGGTAACCAGGATGGTATTGATGTTGGTAGCCAGAGTAATGAAGATGGTATTAATGTTGGTAGCCAGAGTACCGGTAATGAAGATGGTATTGATGTTGGTAGCCAGAGTAATGAGGATGGTATTGATGCTGGTAGCCAGAGTAATGAAGATGGTATTGATGTTGATAGCCAGAGTAATGAAGATGGTATTGATGTTGGTAGCCAGAGTAATGAAGATGGTATTGATGTTGGTAGCCAGAGTAATGAGGATGGTATTGATGTTGGTAGCCAGAGTAGCGAGGATTGTATTGATGTTGGTAGCCAGAGTAGCCAGGATGGTATTGATGTTGGTAGCCAGAGTAATGAGGATGGTACTGATGTTGGTAGCCAGAGTAATGAGGATGGTACTGATGTTGGTGATCTCAGCTTGGAGATGAAGGAACATGGTCTTTATGGTAATAACTTAGGAAACAATGAGAGCAAAGAAGCTGATGGTAACAACAAAATGGCTGAGGTCAACAAGACAATTACCTCAGTTAAAGCTTTGGAAAACAGCGACAATGACAGCAGCGCTGCGGAAGATGTTTCAGACAAGACAGAGACAGAACAACTCGAAATGTCAAGTGTCGGTGAAGTTGCTGATTACTTGGGTAAGCTGTGGAAGTTTCAGTTCATAACAAGAGAAGAAGAGAGGAACCTGGTAGTTACAGACACGAATGATATGCCCGCTCAGAAACCAGTCACCCTTAAATCAACACAAATTCTGAAAACGATACCATACCTCGTGCAAGGAACTAAACTAACATCAAAAGGCAACGAAAAAGTTGTTATCAGCCCGGCTGGAAAGAGTCCTAGGTCTTTACTACACGAATATTGCTTGAAGGTGTTGCAGGTTAAACCAGAGTACACTATTGATGAAAGCGGTGCTTCTAAAACGCCTTTTCTCGCGACGGTCAGGGTGGATGGCTTGCTCTACGGCAGTGGAATGGCTATGAGTAAGAAACAAGCTATGACCTTTGCTGCTCAGAAAACTTTGGAGATATTTATGCCTGAGTCTTTTAAGAAACTTCTTGACGTTGAAGAAAATTTAAAGGTAATTCTGGAAGGATTGTTCTCCACTAAATATCGCTTGATTCTAAACATTGTTTACTTCTATATTTTTCAACCTTTCATTCAGATTTTTGACAGTATTCCCATCGAAGATCCAAATGTGTATGAACTCACGACGAAGTTAGGACTTTTGAGTCCCAACCAAGTTTTAAACGAATGCATCAAAAGGTAATGATAAACGTTCCACCGTCAAACAAATCTGGCCGGTTTGAGCTATGTAAAAAACTATCACCAGCGGTTCAGCAGGCAGTTTGATAAGATAGAAAGAAGCTTGTTTCGTTATTTATATTTCAAGGGTAGTTCCGTCTAATCATTTTGCATGGAACTCTACTTCCTGGGAGTGAAAATTGTTGTGCGAAAGTTGATGACATTCTGATACAAGCTTTCCCACTTCCCTTGCTAGTTTTGCTGTATGTAATGCATCTGTGTTTTTTTCATTTCAGAAACCAGGGCGTTTTAACCACTGGTGTTAAATTCGATTTAAAACAAGGAAAGGACAAACAGTTGAATTTTACCATGGAATGTGGCAAGCACAAAGCGACGGTATTTCTCGTTGTTTAAAAGAGATTTGATGGTTCATCTAATTTTAACAGCTTCCCTGCGTATCTGAATACTTATAATAAATCTTTACTTTTCTTGTCCAGGGAACGTGTCGTAGTAAGAGACTAGGGAGAGAGGTGGCTGCCCAAGCTATGCTACAGGTGAATATATCTGATAATCTCTTTATCTGTGGTAATCCTCTCTGGTAATCCTCTCTGATAATCCTCTCTGGTAATCCTTTTCTGATAATCCTCTCTGATAATCCTCTCTGGTAATTCTTTTCTGATAATCCTCTCTGATAGTCCTCTCTGCATGATAGTCCTCTATGATAATCTTCACTGATAATCCTCTCTGATAATCCTCTCTGATAACCCTCTCTAATAATCCTCTTTGATAATCCTCCCTGATAATCCTCCCTGATAATCCTCTTCACCACCACTTCTTCTTTCTTATGTAGAAATTGCACCCGCACCTAAAGAATTGGGGTTCTGTATTGCGTATTTACGTTGATGAACACACAACCCAGGTATGACAAAAAGTTCTACGATAAAAACTTTTTTTACTCGAATGATAGATTACTTTTTATCTTGCCCGTCTTCTCAGCATTACACGTTCAGTGATGACACAGGCGACACGATTCAAAATTGTGTAAAATCAACAATTCCTCAACTCAAGCGGTGCTTGTTATAACATGTGTTTTGTAACGATGTTTCCATTCAGGAGTTCACTAAACCCGAAGCCCCGGCGCCAACAACAGCGACGAATGTAAACAACGAACTGTTGTCTGAGTTGAAACGGAAAATGTGGAAAGTAATGAAGGTATATTAAATATTTGTGATTTAGAGATAGTTGTTTGTGCGGCATGAGGTTATATTTTCGGTGGCAACGCCCTCTTTTCTGTTTTTAGAAAAAAGACAAAACGCCTTCAACTACGGGATTTATGACTAATATTGATATATAATTTGTAATCTTAATTCTATACACATTTAATTCACTCATTTCAATTAAATCATTTAAATTTGAATATATAAATTTAAATATAAATCATTGAAATTTTTAAAATAACAACAAATTGTATATACTACTTTCTACAACTCTCGGCAACGCTCGGACAGTGTTCGGCGATGTTTCAGCTCGGGTCTTTTTCCCGCGAAAACGCTTTTTGAACGATGTGATATCGTGAAGTTTTAAATGCACATGGTCCAACATGGCGAGGAGAAAACAAACTCGCAGAAAAAAGAATATTAAAGATCCAGACACGAAAACAGACGCGGATAAAAGCGAAAAGAAGGCAGAGGCTGTAGACAAGAATGAGAATTTAACTGAAGAGGCTCCAGCAAGCCCCGATTTCCCTCTTTCATCGCAAAAAAGCGAAAAGGAAGCAGGTGAAGTTGATGAGAAATCTTCAGGTGATTTGAAACGTAAAAGAGAGACTTCTGACGTTGAGTTAAAGCCTGAAGAAAGCAAGAAAACGAAAAACAAAGAACAGAAGCATCGTTTAAAGGAGTTCTCGTTGAAGATCGAAAGATGGTAATGCAGTTTATCTTATTTTGAATTTCATAGGAGGCAATGTACTCTAGTAATGCAGAATTCTTATATTTCCTTTGTGTTTTTAGCGATTCTTGACGTGTCTACAAGAGGAATGCTGACCAGCTTTCTGAAGAGTTGCAGGAAGCATTTCCTAATGTTGAAATAAAAATAAATCCTAAAAAACCAAGATCTAAAAGTTTTGAAGTTATGTTGTACAAAGATGATGATACAGGTATGGTTGCTTGTAATTCACCCTCCAGGTGTTTCCACAGTCTGTAAATCAGCTGGTTAATAACATCTACCTGTCACTGGCTGTTGGTTAACTATTATCTGGCAATGAGACCATGGGTAGTGGGTACCCTACTTAGGAATCCAATGTAATCTATGCCAGATCATTTTTGATAATAGCTGGGACTTCCCATCCATAGCTGCAAATTGTTGTATATCCTGTTTAATGGCTATCATTAAACTCATCTTCACCAAGATAACAAACATGAAATGGTTTACTGTAGAATCCCCAGCTAAACACCCCCTTTTGCTAAGTGTATTTGGTCAGGTGAAACATTTTTGACTGTTTGTTTTTCAACAGAGGTTTTAATCTGGACTGGAATCAAGAAAGGTCCTCCAAGAAAGTTGAAATTCCCAGACATTCAAACGGTCATTTCCGAGATTGAGAAACAACTGAATGAGGTGTAAGTAGGCAAATATAAATAATGTGTTGTGTTTAAAGTAAAATATCCAGCCAACATAATAGTTAATAGTTCAGCAAGAGGTAATAGTTGGTACAAAAGAATATTGATGATAGATTGTGGTGAAATTGTTTCAAAGCCGCAATCTTGATGTATGTGTATTTTTCTGGTACTTCATATGATTTATGTTGAAAGACACTAAAATTATGAATAGATTACGTTATATTTATATTGAATTATAATTTGAGATTTTGTTTAAACATCTTGGATTTTAACAGTATCTTTGTTCTTCTGCTTATCTAAAGTCAAAACAAGTAGAAATTTTGTACTTGTTTTGGCTCTCAGACCAACCGTGTTTCTGTCCAAGGTTTATCCTTGGTCCCTAGCAGGAAGTCTAGATAGCGTTATCCACCGGATGCTAATGCCTTAACCTTTGTTAAAATGCATGAAAGACGATATAACTACAAATTGGAAGCTGAGAAACTAAAAACGCAACTAGAATAATCCCAACTTTAAACATTAATTCAGGTTATACTGAGCACAGAGCAACGGGCAATGTTTAGGGCGATTCAAGAACCACTTTCCGGTGGATAAAATTTTCCACTTTCCAGTGATTAAATTTTTTGCTTGAATTCTTTCTCAATTGTGGTCAGTGAAGGGAATCCGCTTCGATTGTTATCACACAATAAAAAAACGAACGATTTCGCCTTGTGGGATAAACATTTTTTTTCTCATCATTTGCTGCGGCTACAGAGAGCTTTGTTCTGCGGGTTGGCACACGTCATCGGGCGAATTCTATTCGTCATAATTTGCGTTTTCCAGGGAATGTCGATGACGTTGCATCAACTATAAACATCCTTTTGCGCAATATTTCAAGCAGTCATCTCCAATTCCAACAGTGGATGGATGATTACGTATTCATCCGTGACTATATTACAAGGCGTTTTAAAATACGTAAATTCGTAACAACGCAGGCGTTTCTGGTCAAACGGAGGCGTTTCTGGCCTTTCATATAAAGGTGGTGATCGGTGAAACATGATAGAATCATACTACAAAAGAATTGTGTGAATGGGTGTATAATATGATATGCCATTATTTGTCAAGACTCAACTATCAATTGTGTTTACATACGCGACAAAATTGCATTTATGAACATGCTAATTATTATTGGCTATCCAGTGGCTAGTCTAAAGCGGGTGCAATAATAAAAGACGTGTCTACATCAAAGAATCGCATCGACAAACATTCTTTTAAAGTACATCTTTCATTTGGAAGTGCTAATTTATGACAGAGCAGGAAGCTGGCCAAGTTCCTGTACTTGTGGGGGTGTTTAATAACGATTTGAACTTCATTTTGAAAGTAAACTCAAGCTAGTTTAATAAAAACATAGACGGTTTACATTGAATATTAGGAGTTGAGTTATTATTAAGTGGAGAAGATCTCTTCCTGTTAGGCAAAGGTGAAGGCAATTTGGAATTCACTAAGATACGATTTGACTTTGGCGTACTTTTTAATTGATGATAATATGTTAAAAAGGGTAATTTGTCTCGCGGAGTAATACGAAAAGTACTTGGAAAAATTCTTTGATGCCTATACTCACTGATGTGGAAGATTATATGCAAATTATTTCGATAAAAACAACGATAATATCCCCAACAGTGTTGTAATGGCAGAAATCTCAAGTGTATTTTTTATACTGTTGGAGTTTGTTGTCATTTCAATCGTCTTTGTTTGGTTTGCTTACATCATTTATAATATACTTTACTATCCAAGGAAAGCTTACAATATTCTTCCAACCAGGATACGAAATTGGTCGTTGCTGCGTAAACTAGGTGTCACGAATAGGTCAAATACTTTCGCCGAAATTGAAGATCGCTTTAGTTCCATTGCCGAAATCACGAAAGCGATGCGAGCGAGTGGACTCAAAAAAGCGAATCTTATTATTGGAATTGACTTCACCGCAAGCAACGAGTGGCAAGGACGGAAAACATTCGGCGGCCGCTCTCTACATAATATCTCTATAGATCCAAAATCTCAACGAATTAATAAATGGAATCCTTATCAGAGAGTTATCAGGGCTATAGGCGAAGGATTGCAAGATTTAGACGAAGATCACTTGATCCCTGTATTCGGATTTGGGGATGAACGGACCAAGGATCACAGCGTGTTCTCGTTGATGGACGAATCGCCATGCAAAGGTGTTGAAGATGTTCTTGCTCGCTACACGAGAACAGTTGGCTCTGTTGCTTTAAGTGGACCAACAAGTTTCGCTCCTATTATTAGAAAGTCCATCCAGATCGTACAGCAAACTGGCAAGTATCACGTTCTTTTGATCATCGCTGATGGCAGGGTTGAGAATGAACAAGATTTTGATACGAGAGCAGCGATTGTCGAGGCATCAAATTATCCATTGTCTATAGTATTGGTCGGGGTAGGGGATGGCCCTTGGGAGGTGATGCATGAGTACGATGACAAATTACCCCAAAGACGTTTCGATAATTTTCAATTCGTGGAATTCTTAGAAAAGAAGAGTTCCCGTTTCTCGCGTGATGCCGAAGAGGATTTCGCAGTCCAGGCTCTCATGGAGATTCCCGATCAGTATAGAGCTATCAGGTCGCTAGGACTTCTGGGAAAGAATGGCAGCGTGGACCTGAATAAGAACGCGGGGACTGGTGTTGTGCGTCGCAAAAAAATCAAGGAAAGTCGCCAGGTCAATCATGTTATACGAAGAAAGAGCGTCGAGGGCGTTCTTGAAACGGATTTGTGAAGTTGGATTTAGCGCACACGCTCATTCAAGTGTGGGTCACAACACGTCAACGATCATGATATCATGAATCATTGTGGTTTATGATCATGATCATGATCATGAATCATTGTGGTTAATAATTTAATAAAAATTATTTCAGAATTACAGAATTATACTTATCAGTTATCATCAAATCTGGGGTTCCAACCTTGGTATAATGAAGGCAAGGATTGATGAATGTATTTAATGACATTTAACACCTCCAGTTGCATCCATTGTAATCTACTCTTCGAGTTTCGTCCAATCTCCGACTTAATATTATCATCCATCCATGTGATTTACCACAATGAACTACTCCTATTTACTCCTTTTCACTCCTATTTCCCCCTCTTATTTACTCCTTTCCACTCCTATTTCCCCCTCTTATTTACTCCTTTCCACTCCTATTTTTCCCTCTTATGAAGAACTCCTACTTACGTCTTTTCACTACTTATCTTTTCATCTTGAGGTGCATCAAAATTTGATGAGTTTTTTTCTTGTATTTACCGCACCGTGTATGAAATAGCCAGAGGGACATAGCTTCTCAGTTCTCATATTTATTTTAAAATGGAATTGTCCAACTTGTATATGAAATTAATATTATGATTATTTGTCAATTAATATAACAATAAATGCATTTATACTTAAGTTACTTGCGCTTATTTATGTGTAAATGCGGCGACGTTTGCCCGAAACAAATACACTCAAAATTTCGAGGAACAACTTTATTTTTATATATTTATATATATTGGATTTTCCAAAGAATAACGCCACTGTTTATCGAGACTGGGTGAGGAACGAGAATTGTTTTTAGCTAAACAGGAACAATGTGGCCATCGATACATGGCAATGCTGCATGCCAGCTGAATTTCGATGGATTTCGACTGGATACAACGAAACTGTGCCTACTTTCAAAGCTTTTACTTCGTGCTATTGAATTTCTCCAGTCAATGCAAGCTAGCCCAACTGACGTTATCTATTAACGTCAAACGTTTGCGATGCAATTTTACTTCGTTGAACAAAACAAAAACAATGAAACCTGTGTTCTGGTTATGTACGTATTGTAAATGCAGTAGATTGCTGATTCAACTCCAAAATGGTTGACTCAAATTGCTTGCATAATTTACTGGAATCTGAATGAAAACATTTATTTTGTAGTCATTTGGTTGCAAGGTATCGATGTATTGGACAAAATTCAGTTGAGCTAGCTTTAAGAAACATCTTGAAGGTGCTTAATCTCTCCAACTATATAACAAAAAAATTGAAATGTTTTTGATATGTAAAGTTTCACGAGTGTCCAGAATTTTTCTCAATTAAATACGACCAAGATTTTCGTCTGCATTTTCCGTAGTTGTGCTGTTGTGTTTCCTCTCGCAATAATAAACGTTCATCGCTGTAATGAAATCGGAGTAATTATGATTTTTGGAAAATAACCATTATACAACAAAATCTAATCAATCTTAATAGACAAATTCGGATTGAGGACGGGAACTTCAAAAACGACATGCGGTTGAGGAGAATGAGTATGTGTGTCCAGTATGTTATATTGCAGTCTGTGTATTCTCTCAGACTTCTATATGAAACTGGACACACATACTGCTAGGTTACTCTAGGGTCTTACCATTTAAACACCCTTGTCACTGCTTTCACTCTCCTTTCGTTTCCTCTCAATTTCAGCTTGTTTTTGCTCATACTGTTTCTCATCTCGAGGTTTAGCCCCACCAAATATCTTTGCTTGTTGCATCGAGTCAGCAATCTCGTTCACAGGGTCTTTCACAGAACGTGGCAGTAACTTTAATCTTGGCCTCTCACTTGCACTCTCTGCCAATATGGTAAGTTGTAAACATTTACAAAAAATTTTGGTCATGATGAATGATATTTGTATCTTTACCTTCGGTTGGCTCTGGGACATTCTCGTAAGGCATTGGTGGTCCACGATTATCCCTCGGACGGCCATACCGACCTCTGCCACCACCACCATCATATCGGCCACGATCATATCCACCACGCCCTCCTGAAGAAGAACAACATAGGTATTTGGTGTTTAACTAAACAGACCATTATTCTCAATATTTACTTGTGGATGCATATGGTAAGGTAAGGGGTGATACCTTGGTCACGTCCTCCACCATCACGATAGTTATTTTGCCCTCTGTCACCCTGTGACCTTCCTCCACGATCACCTCCACGACCACCTCGGAATCCTGGAAGTTCAAAACCAACAAGTGTTGAGCAATTATTAGGCAAAAAGAATTAATAAAGGTGGGGGCTAAGAGCAATACCTCCCCTTCCACGACCTCTTTCCCCCCGGTCTTTATTTCTTCCTTCAGCAACATCCACCCGAAGTTGCCTACTTCCATATTCCTGAAGAAATAAATATAAGTTCAGCCCTGGATAAATAAAGTACTTTTCCAAAAATAAAGTACTTTTCCAATGAAAAAAGTTTTCTTATGACAGAGGAAATTATTTTGCTTATCCTGGTGCAATGCTAGCTAATAATAGGGAAATACAATCAACAAGAGCAAGTTTTAATTTCAAGAAAAACATTTATTTGTTTTGATATTCTTACAGCATTGTTGTACTCAAGAGCTTCAACCAACGACTTTTGATCTTCAAATTCCACATAACAAAATCCTGATTGAGAAACAAATTGATCAACATATTTAACACCTCAAAGTAAGAAACTGTTTGTTTTGTAGGATTTTGTGAAGGCAATCAGCAATACCTTTAAATTTATCAGTGTCTCTGTCACGCACAATACGCACATTTCTTATCTGAATTTGAAGGAGAAAAAATGGTTTTACAATAGTACAGGGTCAAACAAGGAATTGACTATCACCATCACTTAGCATGCACCAATCATCTAACATACACTTACATTTAAGTTTTCAAATATTCTGTCAATATCACCCTGTACGGTACCATCAGGTAAACCGCCAACAAATGCAGTGAAAGGAGGCTCATCTGGGATCTTGGAGGGTCTTCCACCTCCATATCCCCCACCACCCCCTCCATATCCTCTATCATCACGATGTCCTCTACGATTCCCTTGTTGGCGGTTCCAATCACCACCTCCACCATAATAGTTGTCACTACAAATCAACCAATAATGGAATGTGACTTGCTGGTCAAACTGAGAGATTTATTCATGTATACTATTTGGCTGTGTTTGCAACCAAGCGATGCCCAGATTTAATACCATCAAAAAATGTAAAATTTATGAAACTTTATAGCGCTTTTAGCGTTTCAATATATATTTAATAGCTGCTAATTTGAATTTCAAGACAATTGCTAAGCAAAGACATTTCATATTGTCAGCCATTTCTGGTAGTAGTGAACACTGATATGAACATTACCATTCTTTAAGCAATACCCATAATACAAAGCAATATGTGAAAAAATTTTTTTCGTAGTAAATGAACCGTCATCATATTAAAATCAGGATCATACAATATTTACTACCGCTCTGAGGAGCTTACGTTACGTAATACAGACAAGAACTAGAAATCGGAATATCCAGCCAGCTTCTTTACAACGCTGCCTACAATTACGATACCTCTGTGGCCTGCCATAGCCATAGCTGTCTCGACCACCACGTCGATCATTGCTTTCCTCTTCTCCCCAAGTCGAAGGATCAGCCATTTTGGAAAAGAACAATGAGAACACTGTCGGGGGACTAGGTTTGAACGATGATGGTACGCGGACAAGAAGCGTGGGTTCCAGAAATTGTGCAACCGCTGGTATTTTGGTATGCGGTTATTGTGTGACGTCATTCATCATTCGCTATGCGTCACGTTTTGACGTCATATTGTGTGACGTCATATCTGACCCTCGTTTCCAGGATTTATTTTTCGCTCGGAACGGAAATTTAAATAATTATTCAACATGGCGGAATGTGCTCAATTTTTAGAAGGTGAGTTAAAAATGATAATTGATACATTTTGCGATGTTTTATTTGTTTACTGTACGGTTGGACCGGACAGATTTGTACAACTGTACTGCTGCCATCAGATCGCTGTGAATTGTTAAGATTATTTGTATTATTTGCTGGTTCCTAGTTGATTTCAAATGTTTAGCCTTTCATGGTAGTCTTTCAATCTTTACGTTGATGATATTTCTTGTGGTCATAGATTCTGATGAATATCGTCAACGGTTTCAAGTGGAACTGGAATTTGTTCAATGCCTGGCAAACCCTCATTACTTAAACTGTGAGTGATTCTCATTTCATTATGCAAGTAATAATGTTACATTTTTTTACGATGCCCTGATATGATGATATCCTAGGTTTTAAAAGGATATTATGTTAAATGTGGTGGTCCAGTACTGGTAGTATGCCACAACAAGCTGTTGTGGTTTGTGTCTGAACTACCTGAGAAAGATATCTCAAACGTGGTGGTCCAGTGTAGGTAGTATTCTACAATAATCTGTTGTGGTTTGTGTCTGAACTACCAGAAAAAGATATCTCAAACGTGGTGGTCAAGTGTAGGTAGTATTCTACAATAAGCTGTTGTGGTTTGTGTCTGAACTACCAGAAAAAGATACATATATAACAGACATGCCAACTCTGAAGATTTTTTGTGTGTTTTTTATTTATTTAGTGTACATCTTGATATTAAAACTTACTAATCAATTATTTCAGATTATATCTTCAGCTAACATATAGATTATATCTTCAGCTAACATATAGATAATACTTCAGCTAACATATAGATTATATCTTCAGCTAACATAGAGATTATACTTCAGCTAACATAGAGATTATACTATTAAATTTAAAGTCAAAGTTAGAGGCCACTTATGGCAGTGATAAAATTCTTATCACATAAAAACAAGTTGATACTCAAGAAGATTAAGTATGCCATTGTATGCATTGCTTTGAGGACTGTTCCCCTTGATCTAGTAATCGTAATTGTATTATCTTCTTCACCTTCTTCACCTTCTTCACCTTCTTCACCAGACATATTTAAATAGCCTTTTAACTCCTTAAGGTTAACACGTCTTCCATCCACATTAACATTAAGACTTTCATTGAGAATATCTGTGCTCAGCTGGACCAAAGTATCAGCGAATGTCGTTGACTTGATTTTCGACGGGCCATCTTCGTACTTATAACGATCAGCCAGGATAAACATGATCGACTTTTCTTTCCCTTGTCCATTTGCATAAGCAATCCAAGTAATTCCCTTCTCCTGCCATTTTCCTTGTGAAGCGACTGCATCGATAACCTTCCCAGCAAATTTGGAATCCTCAATTTCCTTGAAACTTGGGGCAGATCTTTTTTCTCGTTTGGACGTCCAATCATTATCGTTCATTTTCACGGAAAGCTGAATTGGGTTTTCACCCAGATTTTGTAGCCAAACTTTGATTGTCACCTCTGCTTCTCGAATTCTTACTTCCAAAGAATTGTTTCTGTCTGTTCCAAGTTGCCAGTCCAGTTCTTTTTCGATCATATCCTGAACTTTCTTTGCGTGTTCGCGGTTGCTTTCTTTGCTTTTACAATCACGTCTGACGTCTAATAGACTTTTCAAACTGGGCCAATATGCTGCGGAATATTTTGATTTAAGAGTCCAAAACACAGTGTTCTTATCTTGGAAAGATAAGTCGCAGTACGATGTTGCCGTGTCGTCAGGGTTGGTGTAGCAGGGTGAGTGTGTTTTGAATGCTGCTGTTCTCAGCTCCGAACACTTTTTTTCTACCACGATTTTGTCTACCAGTGGAACCAGTTTAAATTGAAGACACTTCCTGGCAGCGTTCATCCATTCTTTTACTTTTTCGGAAAACTTGTCGTTTCGATCATCGTAAAGTTTACAAAATGTCTCGGCATATGTAATGGTGTAGTCGTGTTTGTCGTCTTCACAATTAGGATAGGCTCTGCTGAGGCACTTTCTAAACCAGTTACAGTTTGTGCTATCAGGGCTGTAGCACTGTTTGGATAATTTGACTTCGTCAGTGGGCACGTAGTCAGATGGGGAACACTTGCATTGGGAAAGAATATCGCCATCACGTTTGTCATAAGCGTCAAGCATGCATTCGTAATAACAGTAAGAACCTTTGCAATTTCTTTTCCCATTGGATTTCGTTTGGACATAGCCGTTACTGCGACATGTGGTCCACTGATAGTCACTGTATCCTGAAATCTGAACGCACTTTACATTTCCAACTGGTCCGGACGTTTTGCTACATTCCTGTGCTTGGATGTGATGCATGTTGTACATCATGACAAGTAATATGAACAACGGGTTTAAATGAAACATCTTCATCATGTTCAGCACTTGTAAATTACGATTTCGTACGGCCAATAGGATATCTATGAAGTATAAACATTATTTCTTAAAGGACTGGTATTTTGGAATAATAATACGGATTACTAGTTCAATTTGTGGTAAAAACACCTGTGATCTAAACATTTGTTCTTATAAAGCTTTGGCTGTGGCGTCTTTTGAACGGGTTCACACCCACAAAATGTGCAATCTTCACATGCAGTTGTGAAGTTGTTATAATAACCCTACGCTACAAAAAACACGCCAAATCATCACCAGAATCCATGCAACCCCGTGCGTGTATATATTCAATCATTCATTTTGTAAGTATCATTAAAATTATTTTAAACTTCTACCTCTGATTTATAAACATTGCTTCTTATAACTTTTCTATAGTTCGAAATAGATTTATAGTTTGCGTTCGATGACGGAGGAAGCTTCCTAATCCTGACGTCACGGCTGGATGCTATGTCGTTCTAGAGTAAAGAACCTGGGTACGAGGTTGTGTTGTTCTTCGCCTACGGTTCCTATGTCGTTCTGTTTGGCATTTGCCTCGCTTTCGCGTTTTCGCGTTTGTCTCGACTTCCGGATTTCGTGCGAAGTCACACGGACACGGGTCAAGCCGCCAAGCCCTAATTTTAGATGCTTTCTGTATTTTGCGGTGAAAATCTGTTGCTTAGGACCGGGCATTTCGCCTCCATATTCGCCTTTCCTCAGTGTTTATTAAGAAGTGGTAGGAATTGTATAGATTATTTTAATCTCGAAGTGTTTGATATATGCGTAAGGACTCTCATCTAAGCAACAGGATCTATTTTGCAATGTTCTAACCATGTAAAAACCCGAAACAAATTTGCTCACGAGGTAAAAAAAGCTCACGAATTTCACGGCAGACTTAAATTTGCTTTGCTCTTAATAAGGATTTAGATACACACTCTGTGTCCAATGCATAGCGGAAGGAACGTTGCCATTTTAGTTTATATATGTCGTGCCTTTATACCGACTATAGCCGACTACCGAACGCTACTTTCTAATCTGTGATTATGTCTACTTATAACTATTTTTATGTGCTCTGCATGGCCATGCTATTACGGCAATGACGTTGTACAACGTGTAATTTGATACTTTTTCGTTCCTGTCGTCAACTCTCTGCGATATGCATCGAAATTTCATTTCTAAATATAAACGAACAGAATCACCACGCTTTCAAAATATCGAATTCTTGAAACTTTCAAACATCGTGACCCGCAGATTTTGCTACTTTGATCTTTGATCAAGCGTTTGGAGCATATCAGAGACGTATATTTAACGAGAAATTTTCGGTGTGCAGTTTACGACCGCCCCGTGTTAGTGTCAATTTTAAATGCATATTATTGCTATTTGACATTTGTGTATTTGGACCCTTCACTTCAGCCGTCTTTGCCTAATATTTTGCTAAAACTGTGCTGATGTTATGACCATCATTCTCAAGATATAGCTACTCAACGCATACTTCGACAAGTTTCTACTTGCTTCAATGGCAAATAAAATGAAAATCTCGATATTAGAAACATGTTTAGCTAATTTACTCGGAGTAAAATCAACACTGATTCTGGGGAAGTCGAGGGGAAAGTCGTATATGTCCTACGGGGAATTCGCATCTGCGTAATGTCGTTAAGATCATATGATCCTGCGAGCAATACTGTTGTCGTTCGTATCATGATAGAAAATATTTCACTATCGGCCATTGATTCATATAGCCACGCTATAAATCTTGTAGCCGCGAGTACATATACTCCCGCAGCATAAACCAAATTACTTATAAGATACGAAATGAAATAGGAACTGTACTGTAGAAGACATACCTTTGTAATGAATATGAAGAAGAACTCTCTTTGTAGTTGTCTCAAGGTGGAAATTTAGTGACGTACTGTATCTGCGGAAGGACTGAATTTCAGTTTTTGCTTAGCAAGCAGGCTTGAAACATTCATGTGATGTACATATACATATGCAGGCTGCTTGAAAATATTGTGGTTTACCAAGAATTAATATCTCCTGGAAGATGTGCCGACCTAACAGGGGTTTCTTCGAAGTTTATTGCTACCTTTGCTACCCTGGTTTCAGTCTGAGCCAATAGGAAACAACCTTACTGAAGCTGCTACACTACCGTCTGATATGGGATAAACATTACGTAAAAGCGGTGGGGTTATTACAATAAATATTTTGTTTATTTTTCCTTTACCCTTGCTTCGTCCTTGACCGTGTTGATATTTGAGAAACTCGTCTGATTTTTTCGTCTGATTCTTTCGTCTAAATTCGAATTTTAGACGAGTTTCTCTTACAGTTTCCAACCCGTCTGTTTCAAATTTCAATGGAAAAATTCGGACGAGCCAGCATGTGACCGGAACCAGACGTATTTCCTGTATTTATGGGATTGTTTACCTGATCCCTGTTAGCAGAGATTCAACGAAGCGTGAGATGCCTTTAAGGTATTGAAATGAGTATAAAACACGATACTGGCAGTCGTGTAATCACTCCGAGAATTATTAGCATGTGCTTGTTTGGTGTCATAAAGACTTGACGATTGATAATCTTATATGCTGAGGTGCTGTCAAACGAAAAGCGATCGTTTTATTGTGCTTATTCTTGTGAATAAGCATTTTCTGTACAGCGTATATGTATATATATTAAAGACTTGCCAACTTTGTAGGTTTTTTTTGGATGTTTAATGAGCTGAAAATTTTGATTACATATTGTTCTTGATAATAAAGCTCACTGAATCAACTACTGTAGATTATATATATTTTGTAAGTGCAATTGACTATATCATGCATGATGCATGTCTAAAACTAATCATGTGCAAAAAAGTCATAGTTGGGTAAAAACAACACTAAATACTTATCCCTGACCCTGACATTATAAAGTCAAAGTTGGAGGCCATTCATGGCGGTGATAAAGTTCTTATCACACAAAGATAAAGTTGATACTCAAGATGATTAAGTATGCCATTATATGCATTGCTTTGAGAAATACGCTGCTTGACGGGCTAGGAGTTGGATGAGATGGTCTGCTTGACGGGCTAGGAGATGGGCTGCTTAATACAATATTAAATGCATGTAACTCGCAATCCATATCTAAACAGCCATTGAACTTCATGATGTCGACACGACTTCCGTCAACCCTCAAATCAAGAGCCCCGTTCGCATTGAGAATATCTGTGCTTAGCTGGACCAAAACATCAGTGATATTGGTGTGATTGGTTGTTTGGTTACCACTTTCAATTTTAAAACGATCAGCTACGAAAAACCTGATCGACTTTGTGTTGTCGATTTCGTTTTTTGCATAAGCAAACCAAGTAATTCCCTTTTCCTGCCATCTTCCTTGTGAAGCGACTGCGTCGATAACCTTCCCGGCAAATTTGGAATCCTTAATTTCTTGATCACTTGGGGCGGATCTTTTTTTTCGCTTGGATGTCCAGTCATGTTCATTTATGTTCATGGAAAGCTGAATCGGACTCACCAAATTTCGTAGCCAAACTTTGATTCTCACTTCTGTTTCTCGGATTTTCTCGTCCACGGAGTTTGTTTTGGTTTCTCCAATTTCTCTCGTCACTTCTTCTAGGATCATATTCTGGACCTTCCGTTGTTTTTGGCTGCCTTCTCTATTTTCACAATCACGTCTGACGTCTAACAGACCTTTCAAACTCGGCCAATATGCCGCACGAAATGCTGATTTAATGGTCCAGAACACAACATTCCTATCCTGCGGAGATAAGTTGCAGTACGAAATTGATGGCGATTGCGAACTCTCAGGATTGGTGTAGCAGGGTGAGTGTGTTTTGAATGCTGTGTATTTCAGATTAGGACACGTCCTAACGCGTGTTTTGTCAACCAGTGGAACCAGTTTAAGTTGGATACATTTTCTGACAGCGTTGATCCATTGTGCTCCTTTCTGGAAAATTTGTCGTAATTGATCATGCGTAAAGTCTACAAAATTCTCGGTATAACATGATGCTGGAAGTCGTCTTTGTTGTTTTCGCAATAAGGATAGACTTTCTTGAGGCAGTTACTATACCAGTTACAGTTTGTTCCATCAGGGCTGTAGCACCAGTCAGGCAATTTAACACTTTGAGTGGGCTTGGGGCCAAAAGGGGAGCACTTACAATTGGAAAAAACATTGCCAAAATTGCTGTTATAGACGTCAACCATGCACTGGTAATAACAGTAAGTTGCTGTTCGGTCTACGCACTTGTGTCTCGAATTGGATTTCGTTCGGATGTAGCTGTCGGTACGACATGTGGCCCACTGATAATCATTGTAGCCATAAAGCTTAACGCAATGTACGACACCAGCTGGACCAAAATATTTGTTACAGCTCGCTGCTTGGATATGCTGCATGTTGTATATCATAACAAACAACGTGAACAGCGAGTAAAAATAGAAATTCCGCATCATGTACAGCACTTGCGATATCTTACAGCCAATAGCGGTTCTACGAAACATAAATAATAAATATTCGTTTAAACGCGTAGGGATGATTTCCACTGGCTGCACTGTTTATTAAAACCCTGCATGTTTGCCTTGATTTGCGGAATATAGGATAATAAGAAATACTAGTTTAATAATAAATTAAAGGAAAACCACCTCACCACCATTTTGTTTTTATAAAGCTTTTTCACAGCTCAACGAAATAGAGTGATAGATTTATAAAGATGATGTAAAACGGACTAAAAGTAAACGCTAACAAGCTAACACCGCACGTAAAAACGCACAAATCGTACAAAAAACACGACAGTGGAAGTCCGCTCTATTCTGTGATTTTGAAATATGGGTCTCACCCGCAACTGGGCTTGTAGGTAGACGACCCTTTTATCTATAAACGTTGATTATTAGAGCTTTTCTACAGTTCGGAGTAATTAGTACTATTTTATTGGATGGGCAATGACCTGTTACGATTGTAATTTTATACTTTTTCGTTCCTGTCTTCAGAACATCACATGTTTTAAGATTAAACAGACAACTTCCTGTTTGTTTTCTGGTTTATGTAAAGTGGTTATTATTTGCGTGGCTAGTATACCTGGAATTATCGATAAAGAAATATTGCGTCAACTTAGGGTACCTCAAGTTTGCTAGCGTCTTTAACATCATAGATTTTGAAACCAGAGTTGCAAAAAGCTGCGGGTACGCGGGTGACACCCGGAGGAGGAAGGTTGCTTTGAATGAAGTTTGTGAGGAAGGTTCAAAGTTGAACACTCTAATTGATCACATGCATGTAAAAAAAACCAAATATTTTGTTATGCTGGTTGCCATTTGACTCAGTGTCATAACGTAATTTTGAGGAAGGTTTTCAAAACTTGAAATCTTACCGGAGGAAGGTTGAACTCTTTTTGCAACTCTGATTTGAACTATACCCAGGGAAGTAAAGTGGCTTTCGGCTGTCGGTCATTGTTTCATAACTGCGCTATAAATCTTCTAGTTGCGGGTGCTTACCTCCGCATAAAAGTAACGAATTTAACGAAGATACGAAATGAAATAAGAACTATAGAAGACATACCTTTGTTATGAAGATGAGGCGAACTCTCCTTGTCTCAAGAGGGATGTTTAGTAATGCACTGCCTTTGCAAAAGCACTGATGTTGTCAGCTACGATAAAGCTTCGTAATGACGTATATGAGAAATGTTTCAACCCATTGGATTAACTAAGAAGTAATATTATACAAGTATTTCCTGAAAGATATGCTGACGTAATATTATGCCACAATAAAATATTGTACTACTTTGCTTGCATATATATATATATATATATATAATTATATATATATATATATATATATATGCCTCGCTTTTTTTATGCTCGTGCTATATATTTTGCATGGTTTAAAGAACATAACTCACAATCTATGTTTTCTTCAGAAATGGAGGAATTTCAGTTAAATATAAATCACGATACGTAATGGTTAGACAGGGAAGACCAGTTTCATATGTTGTGTTTTCAATCAGTTAAAAACTTTTCACGCATAAATTGAACAGGTTTATAGCTTAGACATGCAATCTAAGGTAAACTAAAGCTTTGTGGAAACTAAAGCTGTATGTTTTTCGCCAAGGCATGACTACGAGAGCTTAAAATTTACGTATATCAAGTTACATGGCTCTTAAAGATATTAATTGAATCCTCATTCTTCGCGTCGCACAAATAGCTACAGCTATATATGTAATATGTATAAATGTATAGGGAAATATATCGGGGAAATTTATTTTATTTAACATATAGAAACTATTATGTTTTCCCAGCATGGTATTATTTATACTAATAAAACAAATGGTATACATGCAGTAATACAAGCAGTCCATGTCTTGGCCACGTTGTTCTACCCCCATGCACTTGAGTGAAATGCATTGCCTTTACATAGCTTTACCAAATTACCATCTCCAGTAGAATTTTTTGGTAGATTTGAAAATGAAAGCATTTGTCTGAGAATTTCACATGTTCAGGAATGCCCGAAATTGTGTTCTTATGATAATAAATAGCCCAGCATGTGTTTATCTTTAACTCATTCACACACACTCTTATGTTCATCCGGCAATAGTATTAGAAATAAGGTATAGTGCATGCCTATACATATAGCCAATGAAAGAAATTAGAATATTGCTTCATATTTACTTGAATGTTTTATGTTGCTGTTGTAGGTTTTAGCCGTCTAAATTAGAATTTAAGGCGAGTTTCTCGTTCAGTTTCCAACCCGTCTGTTTCAATGAAGCGTGAGATACCTGCCTTTGAGGTATTGAAATGAGTCTAAAACACGATACTGTATTAGCATGTGCTTGCTTGGTGTCATAAAGACTTGACGATTGATAATCTTATATGCTGAGGTGCTGTCAAACGAAAAGCGATCCAACGATCGTTTTATTGTGCTTATTCTTGTGAGTAGACATTTTCTATACAGCGTGCGTATATATAAACGATATAGACTTGCAACTTTTTAGTGTTTTTTTTATGTTTAATGACCTGAAAATTTTGATTACATATTCTTCTTGATAATAAAACTCACTGAATCAACTACTGTAGATTATATATTTTGTAAGTGCAATTGACTATATCATGCATGATGCATGTCTAAAACTAATCATGTGCAAAAAAGTCATAGTTGGGTAAAAACAACACAAATACTTATCCCTGACCCTGACATTATAAAGTCAAAGTTAGAGGCCATTCATGGCAGTGATAAAGTTCTTATCACACAAGAATAAAGTTGATACTCAAGATGATTAAGTATGCCATTGTATGCATTGCTTTGAGAAATACGCTGCTTGACGGGCTAGGAGTTGGATGAGATGGTCTGCTTGACGGGCTAGGAGTTGGTGGAGATGGTCTGCTTGACGGGCTAGGAGTTGGTGGAGATGGGCTGCTTAATACAATATTAAATGCATGTAACTCACAATCCATATCTAAACAGCCATTGAACTTCATGATGTCGATGTCGGCACGACTTCCGTCCACCCTCAAATCAAGAGTCCCGTTGGCATTGAGAATATCTGTGCTTAGCTGGACCAAAACATCAGTGATATTGGTGTGATTGGTTGTTTGGTTACCACTTTCAATTTTAAAACGATCAGCTACGAAAAACCTGATCGACTTTGTGTTGTCGATTTCGTTTTTTGCATAAGCAAACCAAGTAATTCCCTTTTCCTGCCATCTTCCTTGTGAAGCGACTGCGTCGATAACCTTCCCGGCAAATTTGGAATCCTTAATTTCTTGATCACTTGGGGCGGATCTTTTTTTTCGCTTGGATGTCCAGTCATGTTCATTTATGTTCATGGAAAGCTGAATCGGACTCACCAAATTTCGTAGCCAAACTTTGATTCTCACTTCTGTTTCTCGGATTTTCTCGTCCACGGAGTTTGTTTTGGTTTCTCCAATTTCTCTCGTCACTTCTTCTAGGATCATATTCTGGACCTTCCGTTGTTTTTGGCTGCCTTCTCTATTTTCACAATCACGTCTGACGTCTAACAGACCTTTCAAACTCGGCCAATATGCCGCACGAAATGCTGATTTAATGGTCCAGAACACAACATTCCTATCCTGCGGAGATAAGTTGCAGTACGAAATTGATGGCGATTGCGAACTCTCAGGATTGGTGTAGCAGGGTGAGTGTGTTTTGAATGCTGTGTATTTCAGATTAGGACACGTCCTAACGCGTGTTTTGTCAACCAGTGGAACCAGTTTAAGTTGGATACATTTTCTGACAGCGTTGATCCATTGTGCTCCTTTCTGGGAAAATTTGTCGTATTGATCATCGTAAAGTCTACAAAATTTCTCGGTATACATGATGCTGAAGTCGTCTTTGTTGTTTTCGCAATAAGGATAGACTTTCTTGAGGCAGTTACTATACCAGTTACAGTTTGTTCCATCAGGGCTGTAGCACCAGTCAGGCAATTTAACACTTTGAGTGGGCTTGGGGCCAAAAGGGGAGCACTTACAATTGGAAAAAACATTGCCAAAATTGCTGTTATAGACGTCAACCATGCACTGGTAATAACAGTAAGTTGCTGTTCGGTCTACGCACTTGTGTCTCGAATTGGATTTCGTTCGGATGTAGCTGTCGGTACGACATGTGGCCCACTGATAATCATTGTAGCCCACTGATAATCATTGTAGCCATAAAGCTTAACGCAATGTACGACACCAGCTGGACCAAAATATTTGTTACAGCTCGCTGCTTGGATATGCTGCATGTTGTATATCATAACAAACAACGTGAACAGCGAGTAAAAATAGAAATTCCGCATCATGTACAGCACTTGCGATATCTTACAGCCAATAGCGGTTCTACGAAACATAAATAATAAATATTCGTTTAAACGCGTAGGGATGATTTCCACTGGCTGCACTGTTTATTAAAACCCTGCATGTTTGCCTTGATTTGCGGAATATAGGATAATAAGAAATACTAGTTTAATAATAAATTAAAGGAAAACCACCTCACCACCATTTTGTTTTTATAAAGCTTTTTCACAGCTCAACGAAATAGAGTGATAGATTTATAAAGATGATGTAAAAACGGACTAAAAGTAAACGCTAACAAGCTAACACGCACGTAAAAACGCACAAATCGTACAAAAAACACGACAGTGGAAGTCCGCTCTATTCTGTGATTTTGAAATATGGGTCTCACCCGCAACTGGGCTTGTAGGTAGACGACCTTTTATCTATAAACGTTGATTATTAGAGCTTTTCTACAGTTCGGAGTAAATTAGTACTATTTTATTGGATGGGCAATGACCTGTTACGATTTGTAATTTTATACTTTTTCGTTCCTGTCTTCAGAACATCACATGTTTTTAAGATTAAACAGACAACTTCCTGTTTGTTTTCTGGTTTATGTAAAAGTGGTTATTATTTGCGTGGCTAGTATACCCTGGAATTATCGATAAAGAAAATATTGCGTCAACTTAGGGTACCTCAAGTTTGCTAGCGTCTTTTAACATCATAGATTTGAACCAGAGTTGCAAAAAAGCTGCGGGTACGCGGGTGACACCCGGAGGAAGGTTTGCTTTGAATGAAGTTTGTGAGGAAGGTTCAAAGTTGAACACTCTAATTGATCACATGCATGTACCAAAAAAACCAAATATTTTGTTATGCTGGTTGCCATTTGACTCAGTGTCATAACGTAATTTTGAGGAAGGTTTTCAAAACTTGAAATCTTACCGGAGGAAGGTTGAACTCTTTTTGCAACTCTGATTTGAACTATACCCAGGGAAGTAAAGTGGCTTTCGGCTGTCGGTCATTGTTTCATAACTGCGCTATAAATCTTCTAGTTGCGGGTGCTTACCTCCGCATAAAAGTAGCGAATTTAACGAAGATACGAAATGAAATAAGAACTATAGAAGACATACCTTTGTTATGAAGATGAGGCGAACTCTCCTTGTCTCAAGAGGGATGTTTAGTAATGCACTGCCTTTGCAAAAGCACTGATGTTGTCAGCTACGATAAAGCTTCGTAATGACGTATATGAGAAATGTTTCAACCCATTGGATTAACTAAGAAGTAATATTATACAAGTATTTCCTGAAAGATATGCTGACGTAATATTATGCCACAATAAAATATTGTACTACTTTACTTGCATATATATATATATATATATATATATATATATGCCTCGCTTTTTTGATGCTCGTGCTATATATTTTGCATGGTTTAAAGAACATAACTCACAATCTATGTTTTCTTCAGAAATGGAGGAATTTCAGTTAAATATAAATCACGATACGTAATGGTTAGACAGGGAAGACCAGTTTCATATGTTGTGTTTTCAATCAGTTAAAAACTTTTCACGCATAAATTGAACAGGTTTATAGCTTAGACATGCAATCTAAGGTAAACTAAAGCTTTGTGGAAACTAAAGCTGTATGTTTTTCGCCAAGGCATGACTACGAGAGCTTAAAATTTACGTATATCATGTTACATGGCTCTTAAAGATATTAATTGAATCCTCATTCTTCGCGTCGCACAAATAGCTACAGCTATATATGTAATATGTATAAATGTATAGGGAAATATATCGGGGAAATTTATTTTATTTAATATATAGAAACTATTATGTTTTCCCAGCATGGTATTATTTATACTAATAAAACAAATGGTATACATGCAGTAATACAAGCAGTCCATGTCTTGGCCACGTTGTTCTACCCCCATGCACTTGAGTGAAATGCATTGCCTTTACATAGCTTTACCAAATTACCATCTCCAGTAGAATTTTTTGGTAGATTTGAAAATGAAAGCATTTGTCTGAGAATTTCACATGTTCAGGAATGCCCGAAATTGTGTTCTTATGATAATAAATAGCCCAGCATGTGTTTATCTTTAACTCATTCACACACACTCTTATGTTCATCCGGCAATAGTATTAGAAATAAGGTATAGTGCATGCCTATACATATAGCCAATGAAAGAAATTAGAATATTGCTTCATATTTACTTGAATGTTTTATGTTGTTGTTGTAGGTTTTACACGTCTAAATTAGAATTTAAGACGAGTTTCTCGTTCAGTTTCCAACCCGTCTGTTTCAATGGAAAAATTCAGATGAGCCAGCATGTGACCGGAACCAGACGTATTTCATGTATATATAGGGACTGTTTACATGATCCCTGTTAGCAGAGATTCAGCGAAGCGTGAGATACCTGCCTTTGAGGTATTGAAATGAGTCTAAAACACGATACTGACAGTCGTGTAATCACTCCGAGAATAGCATGTGCTTGCTTGGTGTCATAAAGACTTGACGATTGATAATCTTATATGCTGAGGTGCTGTCAAACGAAAAGCGATCGTTTTATTGTGCTTATTCTTGTGAATAAGCATTTTCTGTACAGCGTATATGTATATATATTAAAACGATATAGACTTGCCAACTTTGTAGGTTTTTTTTGGATGTTTAATGACCTGAAAATTTTGATTACATATTGTTCTTGATAATAAAACTCACTGAATCAACTACTTTAGATTATATATTTTGTAAGTGCAATTGACTATATCATGCATGCTAAAACTAATCATGTGCAAAAAAGTCATAGTTTGGTAAAAACAACACAAATACTTATCCCTGGCATATCAGTAAAGTTAGAGGCGGTGATAAAGTTCTTATCACACAAAGATAAAGTTGATACTCAAGATGATTAAGTATGCTATTGTATGCATTGCTTTGAGAAATACGCCGCTTGATTCGATATCAAATGCATGTATATCACAATCCATATCTAAACAGCCATTTAACTTCACGATGTCAACAGAACTTCCATCCACACTTACATAAAGAGTCCCGTTGAGAATATCTGTACTGAGCTGGATCAAAACATCAGCGATGGTCGTTGGCTTGATTGTTCCCAGGCCATCTTTGTACTTGTAACGGTCAGCTACGAAAAATCTGATCGACTTCGTGTGATCCTGTCCTATTTCGTTTTTTGCATAAGCAAACCAAGTAATTCCCTTCTCCTGCCATCTTCCTTGTGAAGCGATTGCATCGATGACCTTCCCGGCAAATTTGGAATCCTTAATTTCTTGATTACTTGGGGCGGATCTTTTTCTTCGCTTGGACGTCCAGCCATGTTTATTTATGTTCATGGAAAGCTGAATCGGACTCACAAAATTTCGTAGCCAAACTTTGATTCTCACTTCTGTTTCTCGGATTTTCTCGTCCACGGAGTTGGTTTTGGTTTCTCCAATTTCTCTCGTCACTTCTTCTAGGATCATATCCTGGACCTTCCGTTGTTTTCGGCTGCCTTCTCTATTTTCACAATCACGTCTGACGTCTAACAGACCTTTCAAACTTGGCCAATATGCCGCACGAAATGCTGATTTAATGGTCCAAAACACAACATTCCTATCCTGGGGAGATAAGTTGCAGTACGAAATTGATGACGATTGCGAATTCTCAGGATTGGTGTAGCAGGGTGAGTGTGTTTTGAATGCTGTGTATTTCAGATCAGAACACGTCCTAACGCGTGTTTTGTCAACCAGTGGAACCAGTTTGAGTTGGATACATTTTCTGACAGCGTTGATCCATTGTGCTCCTTTCTGGGAAAATTTGTCGTATTGATCATCGTAAAGTCTACAAAATTTTTCGGTATACATGATGCTGTAGTCGTCTTTGTCGTTTTCACAATAAGGATAAGCTTTCTTAAGACAGTTACTATACCAGTTACAGTTTGTTCCATCAGGGCTGTAGCACCAGTCAGGCAATTTAACCCGTTGAGTGGGCTTGGGGTCAAAAGGGGAGCACTTACAATTGAGAAAGACATCGCCAGAACTTCTGTCATAGACGTCAATCATGCACTGGTAATAACAGTAAGTTCTTGTTCGGTCTATGCAAGCGTGTCTCCCATTGGATTTCGTCCGGACGTAGTTGTCGGTACGACATGTGGCCCACTGATAGTCATTGTAGCGAGAACTCTGAATGCAATGTACGGTACCAGCTGGACCATAAGATCTGTCACAGTTCGCTGCCTGGACACAGTGCATGTTGTACATCATGACAAGCAACATGAACAGCGGGTATAAATGAAAACTCTTCATCATGTTCAGCCGTGCAAAGTAGGATATATCACGGCCAATAGGGTATCTATAAAGCATAACGGCATTATTTGTTTAAACAAACAACTAAGGACGAATTTCCACTGTGGCGTTTTTTATACCGGCTTACACGCACTTAACGTGGCAAAGTTGTTATACAGTTTTTCCTGGGAAAAACACGCCAAATCATCAACAGAATCTAACCTCATGTATATATTGATTTTGTTTGTATCATTTAAATGATCTTAACTTTTATGTGCGTGTGTGTTTGTTCGTAGAAAATACACGACAGTGGCGTGTGATTTTGAATTTCGGGTTTCATCTGAAACTTGGCTTACGGGTAGTACAAACTTTTATCTATAAACATTGCTTATTAAACTGAAACTTTTGTACAGTACGAAGTAAATTTATAGATTATTATATAACTATTTTTTTATGGGTTCAGCACATATGGTTCAGCATGGCCAGTATTGTCTGAATGCTATTATGGCAATGACCTTGACAACTTGTAATTTGACGCTTTTTCGTCCCCGTCGTCAACTTCCTACGATTTGTTGCGAAATTTCAATCCTAAATAAACGAACAGGATCACCACGCTTTCTTAACTTCTTCCCGTTTCACTTTCCGTGGTGTAGTGATGTTTTTCAATGTGATAAAGTGGTTATTACTCACGTGGTCATGCATTAGCACGCCACTTGTGCAAAACTAACTCTTCATAATTGTCGTTACCGTGGAATTATCGATAAAAAATATTGCATTCGCTTGGGGCCTCAAGTTTATTAGCGTCTTTTAACATCGTAGATTTAAACCGGCATATCGAGGGAAGTATAGTGTCTTGCGAATCAAAATATCGAATTCTTGAAATGATGAGACTTCGTGGCCCGCTTGTACAAACAAAGTGGCCGCTGAATTTTTTGTCACCTCGATCAAGCATTTTCCACCCTTTGCAGTCCTTGCTTTTAGTTCAATTTTAGACTAACATCGCACAAATACGCCAAAGTAACTTAAGCCTTTTTACAGCAGTACGCTTGTGTTTTGAATCGTAATAGGACGAATAACGCTGTCGCCATTGGCATTGATTCATATAGCCACGCTATAAATTTTGTGGCCGACTACTATACTTCCGCATAAACGGAATTACCGAACACACGAAATAAAAAAGGAACGATAGAAAGCATACCTTTAGTTTGAAGATTAAGAAGATCTCTCTCTGTCTCAAGCCAAGGGGGGAGTTTAATAATGACTATTGGATGGGCCTCGTTCTAGCTATTGCCGTATTGGATGAACCAAAAAGCAATATTTATACAAGTCTTTCCCCAAAGATATGCTGACGTAATATAATACCACAATGAAACACTAGACTATATACTTTGCCTTGCGTATGTATGGCTGGCGCTTTTGAGGCTGAAAAAGATATCTCAAACGTGGTGGTCCAGTGTAGGTAGTATTCTACCACATGCAAGGTGTTTTACCTTGTAAACTTGAAACCTCATACCTCATGTCATTGTGCTTAATTCTTGAGCAAACACAAGAAAACGCATTCAGAGTTTGAATAATTTATACATTTTCTGTGCAGCGTGTGTAGGCTATATTGATTACATATTGTTCTTGATGATGAAACTCGCTGATCAACTACTATAGATTAGATATTTTCATTATTTTGTAAGTGCAATTGACTATATATATATCATGCATGATGCATGTCTAAAACTAATCATGTGCAAAGAAGTCATAGTTGGGTAAAAACAACACTAAATACTTATCCCTGATAAAGCTCTTATCGCACAAAGATAAAGTTGACACTGAAGATGAATAGATATGCCATTGTATGCAAAAAGTTGTTGTTATAAAAAAGCTTTTCACAGCTCTACGAAATAGAAGTATATAAAATATATGTTTATATATGAATGAAAGTTGACTGTTACACATATATATATAATTATATATATATATATATATATATATATATATATATATATATATATATATATATATATTCAAGATAGATTTCCAACGATTTCCCATAAAATTAACGTATGCAGTACAATCACGTGATCGATATTTAGGTATTTATATATATATATATATACATATATGTAAACTCGAAGTTCTTTGTGAGGGGCATTTCATCGGTAGAATGCTGCATGTCGGTATCGAATCTATTTCTGTTAATCAAAGAAGAAGACAAAGAATTTTTTGTGTAAATGACCACGAACAGTAAATGCTTAGCTCTTTACGAATTACAATATAATTATGAAAACAATCTTTGTTACATGTTCAGTTATTCTATAAAACCCGACCTTCACAGCCGATACAAAATATACAATTCAGTCTCATTTTCACACAAGTATATTTCTCGTATTTAATATAGGGGAAAGCCATTAGGTCTAAAAACGTATACTACATTTATGCAATTACTTTTAATTATGGTGCTTCTTGTTGGTAAAATAATGCCATGAAATATGTTCAAAACGAAATCTTACTTTAAACCTTAAAAGCCTTTTTTTGGTTAAAGCTTACATGTATAAAAACAGTCTAAAGTTTATCTAAACAACAGTTCTATAATGTCAGTGTTTATGATACGAACAAATAGTTGGAAATCAAAACGACGAAGCAGACAAAACGCAAAGTATACATTCTGCCTCTGGCCTTGTGTGATTCAGCTGAACTGCATCGACAGCTTTCCTTGACATCGCCTGAAGGTAGGTGATACTCTTCCAACATACACGGATAGTAACAGTATTTTGCATTTTTGCAATGGTATGGTTTTTCTGTTTTTGATCTGATGTAGGAGTCTGATCGACACGTTATCCATTGAGAGTCATTGTAGTTTCGAACGTTACGACATATCTTAGCCCCGTCAGTGTAACGATTGCAGACTATCTTAAAACGTCTGACTGGTGGACGTCTGGGGTGATATCTAGGTCGACGTTTTCCGCGCCAAAAGCGTTTCCCCGATGCAATCATGCCACAAGCACAGACCACAATCATTAACACAAACACTACGTTGCTCTTCATAATGATTCGCTTATTTCCTGAACGATTTGCAAGGTTCTATTAAATACAAATATATAGTCCGCATTAATAATGTGTGGCACAGCTGTAGATAAAGTGGACATTTTCTTTGTATTTTGGACCTGCAATAAATTATATAGATTCGGCATTGTTATGATGACATGTCGTGAGGGTCTTTTTTATGTACTTTCGATATGCGACGCGTTTTGCGAGAGAAGGTGAAGCCGTTCAAGTTGCATTATATGTTTTTTTTTGAGAAAACAAGTTAAATAATTTCCGAAGTCACGCTTTATCGTTATTACCTTTGTTTTTAAGGTTAAATTTAGCAGTTCGCTTGGGCTTTTAAGATACGGAAACTTTACATGTTTTCCCAAACCCACTGTTCATCTAAGAACGACAGATTGGTCAAAATGATCGACACTAAGATTATTATACTGCATTAATTTTTCACCTAAACTGTCAAGCTGGAAGGAAAAGTAATTCATATTTATTTGTACGAAAGGCCAATTTGTGGCAATTTTCAATTACTCATTCCTATTTTACAACTATTTTTATATGTTGACACAATATATATAAACACAATAAAGCCTTGCGTGACAATTAAGTTATTCTATGAAACCCAATTTAGCCACCATCGGCATGAAGACCATGGCCGCTGTTGGACTTTTTGTCGTAGCCACGTCGCAGAGGTTATAACCAGGGGGGCGTTGTAACCGAGTAGTTTCTTCCGCATAAAAATATTACCGAAGATACGAAATGAAATAAGAACTATATAGAAGACATACCTTTGTAATGAAGATGAGGAGAACCCTCTTTGTCTCAAGAGGGAAGTTTAGTAATGGACTGCCTTTGCAAAAGCGCTGATGTTGTCACCTCAATGGCTAAGCTTCAAATACGGAGTCAGTCAGGTCTTCTCGTGCACGTGTACTGACGTAAAAAAGGAACGACCATATGCTCTACACTTGTTAGATCATGTGATTTAAACGACCCCCCCCCCCACATTGTAGTCGTCAACTCACTCAACTGCAACGATCAACTACAACGATCACGACTCCCGAAATATTGATTTTATTCGGAATAAATTTCTCATATATATATATATATATATATAATATATATAATATATATATATATATATATATAATATATAATATATATAATATATATATATATGCTTCTAATATCGAGAATGTCGTTCAACTTTTTATTTTCTGGCCTGAGTTTACTTCTCGAAGTTCTTCGTGAGGGGCATTTCATCGGTAGAATGCTGTGTCGGTACAGAATGCTCTGGTACTATGCTTTAATTAAAAAAAAATTAGAAGAGAATGACTGTGTGTGTACTTAGAAAAAAGTATAAAATTTGAATACACAAAAAATTTTATTAAATTTCTTCCCTTCATGTGTTTCTTCTAATTTTGTACACGTGAAAAGTGCATCAGTTTAGATAGAAAATTCTAATGTTGATGTAATTCTAATGAGGTATTGTTTACTTTTAAAGAAACGAGTGTTTATCATCCGAGGAAGTAATTGATAACCAAAAAGCCAAAGAATATAAAAGTATGCAATTTAGCTTTGTGTGATTCAGCACCGCTGTCACTGTCGCTGCAGACACAGTTGCTATAGACGCTGCCTGAAGTTATACCATGCTTCTCCAGCATACACAAATGGTAACAAAATTTTGAATTCAGGGTACAACCGTACAAGCCATCTGTAACTGATCTGATGTAAGCGTTAGTACGACATGTCCCCCATTGGCGGTCGTTGTAATCTGGATTTTTTACACATCTCTTAACCCCGTTCGGTCCTGTAGCAGGATCGCATATTTCATCTGTATCGGCCTCGCTGTTGTCAATCATACCGCAGACGACGATCATCAACACCCACAATACGTTGATCTTCTGCATATCTGAAAAATTGAATAATCATCTGCGTTATTCAACATTGTCATCGCCAGGTATCTGGGGTATGGGCATAAAGAATATAAACTGATTCTCTTCGTTATTTTTTTAATCGCGATCGTGTGTGGGAGTTTCACGTCGTGTTTCTATTTTCCGCTAATTAACTCCTACTGGCCCAGCTACGAGGTCGCTCATTCTGCTATAAGGAAGTATGTGGTAACGTAGCCAGCTTGATAAGTGATGTGGACATATTCATTTATTCGTGTTCTACAATATTCATTTCTTTCAAATTGATTGTTTTAACGGTCTGTGAACATGAATATATGAATATATGCACCCCACTTGTCGATGCTGGCGACGCCATTGGAAGTATCCTCACTATCCTGCTATTAGCCGCGTCTTTCCTTCTTTTGTTGTTGCATTGGGTGTGTTAATATTGCATTAATTATACGGCTTAATTTTATTGCAAAATTTGAATTTAACATATCCATCTTTAGCTTATGTCATAGCTGAAGTAAATGTGTTTAGAAATATCGAATTCTGGTAACGACGAGACCTCGGCCGGTTGATAAAGTGTTGAACCAAGAAATATACAAGACAACGGCCACCTCGATCAAGCAAATTCCTCTATCAGTTTAATTCGGACTAACATGAAATAATTCTACCCCAGGGCAGTTTCCCTGATCTTCTCACGGTAGTACTGTTGTATTATAGGTTATGATAAAAAAAAACACTCTGTCAGCCACTGTTTTATACCAGCGCGGTAAAAAAAACTATAGTAACGCTGAGTAGTTACTTCCGCATTCACGAATCTGCTGTTGTGAAATAAGGACAACCCCTTCTGTATATAGAAGACATACCTTTGTTTTGAAGGCAAAAAAGATCTCTCTTTGTGTCAGTGTAAGACCAGGGAGGAAGTCTAAAGATTGACTAACTTTCAAACACACCATGCAGTGTTGTCAGCTCGGTGACGAAGCTTCAAATAAGTTCGAACCCACTGCGTGCAGTGACGTATCTGTGAGGAATGACCCAGTCCATACTCCTCTTTAAAGATATGCTGACATAGTAGAAAGCCACAATCACATACCTTGCGATATAACCAGGAAGCAGCGTGGCAGCGTCTTCAAACAACTTAGCATCGCCATCACGGCATCACATGTGTCGTAACAACTGCCTAACCACCTAAGAGCTTTCGACTCGAGGACGTATTATTCAAAACAAATGATTAAGAATTTTTGGCGAAGAAAACCTGAATTAGCCTCGTTTTCGCATGACACGTACCAGGGCCCTCGCTCTGTTTCGAAGAGGTTTATATCGCGTCATGCATACATCATGTAAATCATCAGCTAACTAACTAGGCTTGTCTTGCATCAGTGTAAGACTATTTTAGTTGGCTTATTAAACAAACTATATTAATGCATATATATGTATTTATATATGTCTGTTTTACTCTTTTTTCTATATATAATTTCTTGAATTATAATTCTTGAATTATTCTTCTTCATTGACCTCTAAAAGATAAAAACCGAAAGTCGTAGCTCTAAGAGTAGCTTTGCCTTTGAAACGTTTTAAGATCTATCGCGACAAGCCTTGAGTGTTGTTTTGCTATTGTGTAGAGATCTTTATCTCTTTCTTCTTCTTTTTTTTCTTTATTGGTATCTATTTCTTAGTATTTTTGCATGCTAGGCGTGACAAGTTCCTGTATAAACTACTTTGTGTTTTCCCAGAATGATATATTTAGCCTAATACGAACATATTACGGGTATGGAAGAAACAATCCATTAACGACGTTGTTATGCCCTCACTCCATAGTGGAATGCATGCATTATACATAGCTTTATACATAGCATATAATGCTTTTATTGAAAATGAAAGCATTCGTCAAAGACAAAGAATTTCTCAGGTCCAGGAATGCCTGAGATTGCGTTCTCACTCACTCACAATAGACTTAAAAATAAGGTAGCGCCCAAACATAGCTAATGAAAGAAATTAAAATATTACTTCATATTTACTTTAATGTTTTATGCTCCAGTTATACGTTTTACATGTGAAACGAAATCTAACTTGCTTTAAATCTTAAAAACCTTATTCAGTCTAAAGTTTATCTATAAACAACAGTTCTATAATGTCAGTGTTTATGATACGAACAAATAGTTGGAAATCAAAACGACGAAGCAGACAAAAGGCAAAGTATACGCTTTGACCTTGTGTGATTCAGCTGAATTGCATCGACAGCTGCCGACGACCTTGCCTGAAGTTGAATGATGCTTTTCCAACATACACTGATAATAACAGTATATTGCATCTTTATTTGCACAAGAGTGTAAGCCTCCTGTTTTTAACTTGATGTAAATGTTGCTTCGGCATGTTACCCATTGGAGGTCGTAGAAACCTGGCAGTTGTATACACTTTCTAGCTCCATTTGGCCCGGTGTAAGGATTGCAGAAATTTGCTTCGCTGTTGTCAATCAGGCTACAGACTGCAATCATTAACACACACAATACGTTGATCTTCTTCATATTACGTTCGCTTGTTAGCTCAAAAATATGTGCGGTTCTGAAAAATGCGATGTGCGTTATTTAACATTAACATTGCCGGATCTTTGGTATGTAGATAACCTATTGCTATATTCTACATTTTCTTTATGGCGTTAGTATAGTCTTTGGTCTACTAACGCATGTTCATGAAGTGTCTTAGTGAAGTAATGCTATGTTGAATTGGTGTTGTATACGTGGCACTCCAAATTGAATCAACCATTATACGTTCGTCAGTTTCTTTCTTGCCTTATTTAAGTTATTTTGATGAAACAAGATCTGATTGTGGTGCTTGTTTCTCTACAACTACCATTTACCTTTAACAAAGTTAACTTCCTTTATGAGATATATATACTTTTTACAAAATAACGCGTATTTGCAAAGACACTTTATTCGCTATGCCACGCCTTATATTTTTTCATTCATGTACCCATTTCAAAAACATCTGCTTTTTCTGAAGGAAGTGAAATAATCTGTGGAAGCTAAATACTTTCACTCATCTTTCTTTTATTTTGGCAGCAAAGCAATAATTGAAGAAACATACCTTTTGATATTTTTCGGAGAAACGATCTCTGATGTTGCCCAGCGCAGTTCAAACCTTAACTGA